CATTTTAAATAGGGTCCACTACTTGTATCTCTTTTAATAGCATTAAGCTACTCAACCAGAAGGCATCAGGTAATCATATAGTATCACGGTCCAATTGTTCAAGACTTTGTGTTGATACTGTCCTTTAGGCATACAGTATTGAGAATAAGAGGCTTACCATTGAGAGATGGGAGATTGGTAGTCTGTTCCTGGGGGTAAAGCAAGAGCTGGCTCACCATTCGTGGACTGATGCTATCAAGTACATCTTGAATCACTTTTTTGAGATGTATGGAGTAGAGGTAAAGGACATAAAGAGAGAGGGAGGGGGAGAGAGAGACAGAGAAACAGAGAGAGAGAGAGAGAGAGAGAGTTATTCCCTATCTTTCTCCTCCTCTTCTAGTTTTGTTGGATAATACAGTCAATAGTGATAGCAGTTAGGATTGATATTTATGGTGTTTTTGCTGCAATATTGCTTGGAGCTATGCTCATCACTCCTAGAAGATTCCTCCGCATATTTTGGATGCTGTACCTCACGATTCAAGGGATACTGATATTAGTACAGTATTTAGCACTCCTGGGAGCACCCACCAGTGCAATATGTGATAATGGTTAGTCTGAGCCACTAATGTATTTTATCTATTGGTAACTGTATAATATAATGCTGTAAAGGTGAATATGTATAGTTGCATTATTATCTAATATTGGGGGAAGTCCCACGTGCTTTTTTGGGGATTTTCCCCACTAGTTCCTCCTTCCCTTGTGGTTCCCCTATTTTGAACTTTGCTTCAATAGTTTTCAGGACTTTACCTTTTAATGTCTTTACTGCAGTGTCGTTATTGTTTATTGGTTGCTATAGGTTACCCGTGGGCCTCTAAATTCAATGATACATATCATACCAGGTAGGGAGAGAGAGAGAGAGGGAGAGAGAAAGGAGAGTAGGGAAGAGATTCAGAGAATGAAGGAGGAGGATCATGTACATGTATTTTTGTTGTTCTAGGCTAGAGAAGTGGCTCTTTATTCCTCACACTGGTGCTGATATACTGGACAAGCGTTGGCTGTTTGGTAATGAATATGATTTAAAACTGACCGCACCCCATTCATGAATATCATTATATAGTTAATCTCATTAGCTACTTATGCATGGCTCTCCAGATGAAGTATTTTGTCAGAAACCCATTGACCGGGTTACCAGCTGTTACTGATTACCCATTCATGTATGACACTGATAAATTCCTTGATTATCTCAAGGTATGGGTGTGACGTTATACTCCCCTAACGACTCTTCTAATTATAGATATTATTATTCCAATATTACTTTTGGCTCGCCATTTTCTTTGTTTTTGTTGCCGGAGCGTTTGGACTCAACGTGTTTGGTTTGATATTTCTCCTCTTGTGTTTTATATTTCTTTATCGTGGGCAATTACTACTGAGTGATGAGAGGACTAAAAGGAAGAAATGGTAAGCATGTCTATGTCATGTATGTATGTATATATGTCCTATGTGTATTCTGATATTAATAGGTGGATGACACTGAGAGCTTTTATCTACTTTATTCTGTTGATCCGTATCATGATTGAGGTAGAGCCATCATATGTGACTGTCTATTTTTAATATCTTGTGTGTGTTAAGTTGCCTGGTTGTGTATTCATTCCTGAGATTAGTTTCGGAGGAAGGTGTGGCTTTATATCTGTCATTAATCTACACTGCTCTGAGCCATTGTATTATGGTTAGTTCTTACATGCACAATACTAATCTCTATATCTTGTAGTCTACTACTATACATGTGCATTTAATTTAAATGTATCTCTTTCTTTTTTTCTACATGAAGGCATACCCTCTAGTTTAGATTGTGATAATAATCCTCACTCTTCAACTGGCCTGTGGTTTGATGTACTCACTTTCATATTAGTCACAATACAGGTTATATTACTTGATACCCAGTATGCTGATCAGGTAGCACGTGAAATTAATGAGAAAGAAAGTTCCGCTGTCGAGTAAGGAAGAAGGAGAGAAGGGAGACGAATGACAATAAATTTGTTGTTTAGATTTTCAAAGATACTGTTTGCCGTCCTGGATGAAAATGAAAAGAAAAGCACAGAAAAGCAAAAGGAGGAACTAGAAGAGCTGAAGGAAAGGTAAATGATTGAGATAATAATACTAATATTATTATCAATTATTATTATCATTATTTTTATTTTTATTTTTATTTTTTTTTTTTAGAGCTGGTAAACTCAAATTGACTGAAGGGAAGATAGCACATTTACTTAACGTTGGAAGTAAGCCTTTAAATCTGGTCATTAAATATTTTATAAGTTATAATTTATAGCTCGGGTTCCTCCTGATTTCTCTTTGACAGTCTCACCTACTCACTCATCAAAGAAAGACAGTTCACCCACTGACATAGAAGAGAAGGAGGAGGAAGAGGAGGAGGAGGTGAAGCATAAATCCAAAGCAGAGGATGTAGCGGAAGAGATCAGCAAATGGAAAAAGGTCGGTTCCTTCTTGTGGAAGGTCTGGCTTGAGGTGGTGGATTACATTATTAATTTCCTTGAGGATAGCAGTGCTAATTATATGGAAGTCTTAAAACGTGTAGCCAAAGCTCGTCACGAGTCCCATGCACCTGCTGCTGATAGCCCTCACTCCGAAGAAGGGAGAGGATTAGAAGAGACAGGAACTAAACCACCTGGTATTGCTGTACAAGCTGAGGTTACTGAGAGTGGAGCTACTCCTCCTGTGTCTGAGACCAAGTTCACCCACTCCTCTTCGGTTCGAAAGTCGCCATCCTTTCCCCCGCCTAGTATGAAAAGGCTGAGATCCTCTGGTTACAATTTTGACAAGTCTGGTGACATTATTCAAACTTTAAGAATTGCTCCAAGCTCTGACCATGAGGAGCAAGCTAAAGCAGTCCATGAAAGACTAGAGAAGCTCTCAACTGAATACACTCGGAGACCAAAACGATTGTTACGTGCACTCTATTACTGGACCCTTTCTCATTTTAACTACGTGGTCATCTTCATGGCTATTCTTGCCATCATTAGATCGGGGAGTTTCATTTCCTTCTTTTATGCAGCGATCATCTTCATGTGGGGTCTGCTATACGTTCCATGGCCTACCAAGAGATACTGGAATATACTACTCTTCTTCACTATGTTTGTCCTAGTCGTCAAGTATATTTACTATTTCGTTTATTTTGCTATTGGTAACGATGGGGAGACTGGAGACAATGCGTTCCTGGGATTGAATGGCCCTGCTTCTTGGTTCTTTGGTATTGAGACCACCTCGTCTTATTTCTCTAATTCCTTTGTTCATCTTCTCCTCCTCATGTCCATTATATTCCACAGAGGCTTGCTTAAGGTATAAATATCTCATTAAGGAATTGTATGAGTCTATTTTGACTTTTTTCTATCCCAAATAGCAACACGGTCTATGGCAGAACATTTCAACCCTTAGTAAAAGGACAGGCATACTGTAAGTCTATTATATTTTATTAGTTGTACTCTTATTGCTTTACCTATAGGAGGAGTGTGTTTTATCGCTTCATTGGTTTCTTTAAGACGTTATTTAGCAAGACGACGATTGCTGGCGCTAAGGACTTGTACAATTGGATGCTCTTCTTTGATTGTCTTTGCTTCATTACAATTGCTTTGGGATATTCTAGCTTTTCTGTGAGTGAGAGAGTCCTTTTGTCAGGGTTTGGATGTAAAAAAATAATGAGATTGGTCACAATTTGCTCATACTTGTACCAAGAATGGCTTCAAAAGTACCACAATAATTTTTTCAGATGCATGTTCATGTCCCTGTGCTATATGTAGAAAGTTTTAGAAAGATCATTTGAGCTGTTGTTTTAAAATATGCAAATAATTATTGTGGGTAAATTTGTTTTTTCTGTGTGATATTGAATGTACTCACTTTTTCCAGGTTAGTACAGGGTCTGGTGATGTACCTGAAGTGGCTACTTACATCCAATCGAACAACATTCCTCTAACATTTCTCACAATGTTATTCTTGCAGTTTTTCTTCATGCTAGTTGACAGGTAATCCACGAGGCGTACAGTGTTTGTACATTATGCCACTTCTTCTCTTGTTCCAGGGCTATTTATCTTCGTCACTCTATCATAGCAAAATTTGTTTTTTACGTCACTTTGTTAATCTTATGGCATATATGGATGTTCCTTATATTGCCTGTAACCACTGAAAAGTAATGCCCCTATTGATTAGCAGCTGCATGAGATCCCTCCCTCTCTTTAATAGAGCATTCATTGATAATCCAGCTGCTCAGGCCATCTATTTTTTCAAGAGCATGTATTTCATAGTGTCGGCTCTCCAGATGATTTCAGGATATCCCGAGAGGCTACTTAAAAATTTTGCTGCAAAGAATTTTTCTCCTCCTGTAGGATTCATATTCCTTGGGTTGGTCCTTTGTATTGTTATAGATTAGATATTCATTATTATGTATCAGGTATCGTGCAATACCCATTATCCCAGAGTTGCGGGAGGTGATGGATTGGGTATTTACTGATACTTCGCTGACAGTCATAAACTGGCTAAGAGTTCAGGAGATATGGGCACAACTGTATCAGATTAAAGTTAGGAGAGTTCGAGAAAAGGTAAGTAAAACAAGTCACTTTATCACATGGAACACAAACTCATTCTTTTTTATAGTTATTGCCCAGAGATCTTGGTGATAAGCAAAGTTTTGTTGTCAAGCTGTTCTTGGGTGGAGCTTTCTTAGTAGGACTGGTTCTGCTCATATGGGGACCGCTCCTAGTAATTAGTCTAGTTAATGAAACCAGCACACCTAATCCACCTATATATGCTACTGTTGATCTTGATTTGGAAGGATATCAGGTAAAAAATAAGACTTGTAATAGTGTCATGAGTATTGTGAACTCTAAATTTTGCTTACTGTAAGTTGATTCTTTTTTCATTTATTATAGTTATTGCAAATCCAAGCACAATCATCATTCATATATGAGTTGAATCAGGACCAATATAGTACTTTGAGGAACAAGATTACCACCACTACAGTAAGCAATCCTTCATCTTTACTTTTAATCACCAGGGACCTTCCTTATTTTTAGATAAGACGCGATTTCAATGATTTATTTCCAAAGGAAAATTTTAGACGCATTCTCTTTCCTGGGGGCTCATCCTTACTGTGGACAGCTAGTCAACCATCACAAGATCAGCTTAAAGACCTGCTGGCTCTAAGTGCAAAGGCAGTACATAAACTTGTTTTTTCGTGGTCATTTAGAAGGTAATATAGCAACGTTTAATCTTGTTCCATTTGTTTCTTAGGTCTCCAGGCACAGGTGTGGCTAGTGAAGTTATTAGTGGGAGTAAAAATATAGAAATCAATACTGAAGTGGCGAGACAGTTCCTTGATAATCTTAATGGGAATTTATCCTTAATGTAAGATATTGCTCTTCATCATTTTGACAGTGTATGATAACCCCTCGTCCTACTTTTGATAGTAATTTGACTTCACTTTATCCTCTGTATGTATCAGCACCTGCCGCAGAGATGTCAACGGAATATACATCAATATCAAGTTTGTTATAATCATTAACTCTATCATAGTGATTAATGATGTACAATGTACTTTGCAGATTATATAAGTGGCAATACTGTAGTTGACTGTTCTGCATTACTGAATAGAACAGAGACACTGAATAATGTCACTATTAATCAATGGTGGACACTGACCCAATCTTCAAGTTATGTTCTAGCAACTGGGAATGAGTCACCTGGCTCTTTGGAGATGATTGTTCACAGTGATCCTGTTGTCCCTGTTGTCTTTAGCTTTGTCTCTAATCTCGGGTAAACCCCTTTTTTTCTTCTCCCATTCTATTTCTCCTTGCAAGCAATGCAGCCAAGTTTTTAATGGTTTAACTAAATTACAATGATTTTATGGATTTTTTGTTTCATTGCATTATTATTTAGGATTATTGGTCTGTATGTGTCTGTGGTGCTGGTGATCAGTAGATTCTTGAGGAGTTTCATCAATTCCCTCATGTTTGAAATAATTATTGATGAAATACTCTATCCTGATCCTCTACTTGAGTTGTGCGATGATATTTTTGCAGTTCGAGAAGCAAAAGATTTTGTTCTTGAAGAAGTTTTGGTTGGAAAGTTGTTTTATATTTTCCGATCGCCAGAGAGGCTGCTGAAGATTACCGAACTTCCTAAAACTAAACAAGATTAAATTATTATTGTTATTATTTCTTAATTCATCATTGTTATTGTTACAGTTTTGCTTCAAGTCTTATTTTTCATAAATTAAAAATTAATTTTACTACAGACACGTGCTTGCACGTGTGTAGTTATAACCTCACGTGATCAGTGATCTCTCTTTATTTGCTCCGAGCTCCGCCTACAAATAATTCCCGCCTTTAAATGGCCTCAAATGCAAAGAGTAACTGGAAGATCAGTGAGTTTGCCTACTTTGATGTATGAGCTTCTCTTTCTTTTTAGGTGAATTTGTAGCTCACGGCAGTGATGTACTGTGTGCTTGCCTCAGTCCGTTCACTGGCCGTACACTAGCCACTGGCGGAGAAGACAAGAGAGTTAATCTATGGCTAGTTGGACAACCTCAAAATATCTCTGTAAAAAAATTAAAATCATATTTGGGCTACCTGTAAAAAAATTAAATTGCATAATCCTTGCAACAAGAGTTTTGGTTGGTTTATTTTGTTAAGTGGGTGATTTATTATTGAGGATAAGAACCAAGTAGCTGTTGCTTCCTTATAAGGAAGGTGAGGCAGATTTCTAATTTTATTCTCCTTGCAAAAAACAGTGCAATCTCATGTACTTATGATATAGGGCTTTATGATTCAATATTGTTATTATTTAAATATATTATTATTTATTTATTTATTTAGAGTATTTCTGGATTAAGTTCACCAATAGAATGTATAACATTCAATGGGAGTGAGAGCTGGTTGGGGGCGGGGTCTCGTTCAGGCTCCCTTAAAGTATTTGATTTGAATGAAAATAAAGGTATGTTTATCCATCTATTAATTATTTAATCAGCTCGCTCTCTCTCTCTCCCCCCCCTCTCTTTCTCTTTCTCTCTCTCTCTCTCTCCCCCCCCCCCTCTCTCTCTCTCTCAGTTGTTAGAAGCATAAGCGGACACAAGTCCTCCATATCTTGTCTGGATTTCCATCGCTATGGCGACATATTAGCCTCAGGCTCTATGGACACCAACATAAAAGTGAATCCATTTTCTATTTATTTATTTGTTTATTTATGTACTTACCTCTTTATTTATTTACTTATTTATTTATTTGTTTGTTTATTAATTTATTTATTCTTTGTTGCAGCTGTGGGATGTTAGGAGGAAAGGTTGTCTGTATACATATAAAGGACATAGCGACGTGATTAATGGGATACAGTTCAGCCCTGATGGTAAATGGCTTGTATCAGCAAGCTCCGATAATGCAGTCAGAGTTAGTAAATCAAAGAGAGAGAGAGAGTGAGACTTGTAATTTTTTATTCCTCTAGTTGTGGGATCTTAATGCTGGGAAGTGTTTGAAGGAGTTCAGTACTCACTCTTTGCCTGTTAACGATATCCAGTTTCATCCCAAGGAGCTTTTACTAGCAGCTGCCAGTAGTGACAGGTATATAACGCCATTAGCAAGACACATGCATATAGTCCATGGTATGGCCTCACCCCAATAGCTGCTGCATTCATTCATTCACAAAGTCCTTATACTATAGTACAGGGATTTTGGCTAAATTTCGCCAAAAATGAAAAGTAGAGAATTCTTCATTTTTATATATTTTTTCTAATATATATGCATATTCTTATGTTGCGTAGAAAGTTTGAACTGATTTCAATCAAAATTGGATTTTTACGAATTTTTCAAACTTTCTTTAAAAAAATAGTGATCACCCTGCATACATGTGATAATACCAATACTTACTAAATTAAATGTTCCATGTATTCTTTGTTTAGGACTATCAGTTACTGGGACCTTGAGACTCTATCGCTTATCTCCACATCTCCCCCTGAAGGATTTGGTATCAGAAAGATACTCTTTCATTCCGAAGCCAACGTTATCTTTAGCGCTTCCCAGGATTGCCTGAGAGTTCATAGCTGGGAGCCAAGCCTTCAACTGGACTATCTCTCCATACCTTGGGGAAAGACAGCCAGCATGCAGCTCTCTGGGGATCAGATTGTAAGGAACACATGTATATTCATGAGCAAAGAGCTCCAGAATAAATCAAAATTAAAAGTTCATGTATCCATCCATTCTGTTAAGTTTCTGTGGCCTTTCCTTTGGAGAACTTGTAGAAGATTTAATTCGTAATAGTGCTTACATGTAACTCTCGCCTTCCTTTTAAAGCACTATTTCTCAAAAGTCAAAACATGTACATGCACTATTATTGGTCATTGCCCTTTTTACTGAAGTTCCTCAGAGAGTGCACCTTGGTTAGTATCATGTGATATCATATCTTCCTGTAGGTAGGCGTGTCTTATTCCTCTACAATGGTCAGCCTCTGGTGTATTGATTTCAAGAAACTAAAGCCGTGGTCACACTCTGAGAAGAAGAGAGACTACCAAAGGTAATGCCGTTCTTTAAAAAATGGTCCAGAATTATTTGCATCAATTAAGACCAGCAGTTATGATTGTGTTATATTTTAGCGTAAGACAGAAGTTTCAGTATCGCGAGGAAGAGATTGAACGACCTCTGACCCAACCAACAGGACCCCCACAGGAGGAGGAAGAGGAGAGGTACACTTGTACTACTACTGAGTATATCCCCTGCTGTCCTTCATTCCTGTCTCTAGGGAGGTGGGTGAATGTGATGAGTCTCCTCCAAAGGAATTGCAGTCAGAGGATAGGCAGATGCTGTTTAAAGCCAGAGAGCAATTGGGTAATTATTTATGATATTATATCATCATCATCATCATCATCATCATTATTATTATTATTATATTTTTAGTTAGGACGCCACCTAAAGGTAAAAATTTTTTGCCATTTCAACCTCCTTTGGTTCAAACTCCGCCTCCTGAGCCCCGCCCCCACATACCCTCCTTTGATATTAATAAAGTACATGATGTGCATTACTTTTGATGTACTTCATTTTTATTTCTCGTTAGCCACACCCACAAGACTCCTATTATGGTGGGCCCGAGTTAGAGAGAGATATCAATGAAGGTATTAATTATTATTATTATTTATTTATTTATTTTATTTAATATTTAAATTTTATTATTATTAGCTCATTCTGATGTTTGCAGTATGTTGAGAAACAGATTAAAATTATTGCAAGAAGTGAGATCAGAATGGTCTCTATCTGAACCAAAAGTGAGTCCCTCGTTATATTATTATCAATTGTTGTTGTTGTTGTTGTTATTGTTTTTGTTGTCGTTGTTGTTGTTGTTGTTAGGGTGCTCTTGAAGTAGCTGTCAACAGTGGGGACCAATCAGTTATTATCGATCTGTTATCAATACTCAACTTAAAGAGGTGAAGTGTGTATGATAATAGAGCCTTTCTTTATCATGAAGCCTGGTCCACTCTGTTAATTATTGGGTGATGTGTAGGTCATTATGGAGTCTGGATATGGCAGTATTGATACTACCAGAACTAAGATTGTTATTGAAAAGCAAGCACGAGAGGTATTGCATTTACTATTTATTATTCTCTGGCAGGGTTTCCTCACACAAAGCATGCTAAGTGAGCTAAACAGCATGAGCTTCATGAGCTGACAAGCACTACAATACAGTACATGGTTTTTGGAGCAACTTTAAAAATTCATAAAAAATCTAAATTTGATCGGAATCAGTTCAAACTTGATATACAACATTAGAACATGTATATGTATAAGAAAAAATTATAAAAATGAAGAATTCTCTCCTAGTCATTTTTGGCGAAATTTGGCTCGAGACCCTGTACTATAGTACAGGGTCTTTGGCCCGATTTTGAAGCAACTTTAAAAATTTGTAAAAAATTTGAATTTGATCAGAATCAGTTCAAACTTTTTATACAACATTAAAACTTGTATATGTATAAGAAAAAATTAGAAAAAAGGAGAATTCTCTCCTTGTGATTTTTGTTGCAATACCCTGTACTACTATAGTACAGGGACTTTGGCTCAATTTTTGAGTAACTTGACAATCTTGTGGGAAACCCTGTTCCCCAAGTGTCCTTCATTACTGTCTTGCTAGGTATTTATCTTGTGCTACTTTTGCTATCAAGTTGATACTAAAATCATTTGCTTCGGTCATAATTTCTAATATTAGACATCAGACGACACCTACTGCTGGACAGGGCATTGACTTAGCTCGTGAAGAAAGGTTTGCATTGTTATTATTATTTTATTATTAATTGCCATCAAATTTATTTTTTGGTTACATTAGGTTAGAGAGGTGTCAGATTTCCTATTCCCATCTCTGTCAGATAAGAGAGGATCTGGCCACACCTTCCCCTTTGCTCTCACGTGTTGTCAAGGAAAGTGGCCTAATGGAAACATTCTCCCTATTAGATTAGCAACATTAACTTGTTTAAAATTTCCCTCAATCCCTCCTCCCTTTTTCTTCCTTCATTCTGTCATGACTTTAAAGTGAAATAAAGCAGTCATAAGACTTTTACTAAAATACAGTGTATCATTAATTACGTTTACTAAATTTTATGATGATTATTTATTGTACAGCTTATGTTCCATTTACATGTATAATGTGTGTGTATATATGTATTGACTAGGACTGTGTACAGTTTATGTCTACAGTTAAGTGCAGTGTGTCTATGTACAGGACTGTATCTACAGCACATCAGAGAAGTTGATATAATGAAGCTGAAGTGTTTGCGGATTGTGCTGGTTTCGAACTGATCTCTGCACTGTTTGTGGCTGATGTCCCATAGCCTGTCTTGATGCTCCAGGTCTATCTCCCTGCTGTCCTCCTGAAGCTTCCATTGGCAATCTTGATCTGTATGGCTGCTCAGCTCTCCTTCCTTCAGTGATGGCTCTTTGATCGGTTAACCTTTTCCCTTGAACTGCCATTGACAAGGAACCACAGTTGCTTCTCTTTGATCCATTATTACTGCCTTGCTTCCTTACCCAGGCTGGCCTGTTGTACTTTGCTGCTCCTACTGTCCTTGTTCCATCATCAGGGCCCAGAAATTGAATGGATGTCACTGTAGGATCTTCTTGTATTGTTTCTTGCTTGTTCACTGCAGCCAAAATTGGCTTCCAGTGACTTCGATGACGATGCATGAATGTCTTGTTTGCAGAGAGTGGTTTGTAGGAACTTTTAATTTTTTCCAACTTTCGTGTTTCACCTGCAAAATGAACATTATTACACAGAGAAGTATCATAAATTTTCTTACTTTCTTTCTCTTCTAGTTTTGGCTCCTCTCTTTCATGCACCAGTACTGGAGGAGCTTCTATAGGAGGAAGGAAAGGTGAGACGCTTGCAGATATGGAAGATTCCTGAATACTCAAAGGAGATGAGCTTGGGTTGCCTATATGCAGTGGTGCAGGTGATGCTACAGCAGAGGGGATCCTCCCCTTGTAGCCAGCAGGAGTGAAATATCGTGGCGATTTGACTGCTGTTACCGGTGGAGCCAATTCTGGGGTTATCGGCATGAAAACTGAACTGAAATCAATCTTGCTCATCTTAAGCAGATTCTTCATAATAATGATAACAATAATAATAATGATAATGGCTTATGATTTTACTTCAGGTTTAGATTTGCTTTTCTTTTGTATTGGTTTCTCTTGCACTGATCTCCCTAGTTAATGAAGCACAAAGCCATCATTCCTCCTTATATCATACAATGCTTACTTAGTAGCTTTGGTCTACAAGCATGTGTCACTTCCTTTACTTGTTGCTTTTTGGTTTCTTCCTTTCCACTAGACAAAGGCTCAGGCTCTTTAGCATCATCTATATTCAGTAAAAATTAATTCAGAAGCATTGCTGCTAATTAGTTTGTACTTTTCACAAGAGTAGGTGCAATTGATACATTGTCAGTAGTCTCTTTTTCACTTTTATTTTCTTGACTGCAATGAGTCTTATAAACATGCACATATTGCATATGATTACTTCTCTACAGTATAAGAATCAGGTATTTTCAGTGTCCTACGAGCCGCCACATCATCAGTTTTTTGTTCATGCTATGTGCATGTGTATGGGATACAACACAAAGTACAAGTGAATCTAATTTCATATATATATATACACATACTGGTATGCAACCTTCATTTCTCTTAGGTGGAGATGCAAAAGCAGCGGAAACAGCTACTTTTTCCTTTTCTTTTGAGTCTGCAATTTCTGATTGCAATTGTTGGATTTTCTGGAAGCAGAGATTATGGATTCAAATAACATCTGAACTAACTGCATATGCCTGCTCTAGACTGTTATGCATTTGAAGAGCTGGCCGATTATCTCCATTCCCTTTCTTACTAAGGAGCTCCTTATTTTGCTCTCTCAAAGCAGCTACTTCCTGTCATAAAAAAATGACAAGTACAAATGCATGCAAGCAAGAGTAGATGATGCACTGTCACTATTAGTATAGTTAGGATTTCACATATAACCTTATTCATTTCTTGTAGTTGCCTTGTTATTCTAAGGGTGAGAGGCAAGATGAGAAGAAAAGTGAGAATTAAAGGCATTGAAAAGAAACTCCATTATAAATCTTTCTTCTGTTAATACTTGTCATTATTTAACATTTTCCTTTGTACTATGCTATTTAAGGCTTAGTTATTTGATTCAGTTGCAAGTCTACTGTTATCAATTACTAACACTTTATGCTTTATGGATGGATCTTACACTATCTCACTTTGTTTAACACTACTATTGCTCAATATGTACTGGCATAGGAACTTAATACCTTAAATTCTGCATTGCTTCTTTAGTAAATATGTCTCTTAAGTGGTCCACCTGGGACTTTTCTACTGAAGAATCTCCTACAAATTAAAAAAAATTATTAACAAATAATAAACCTCTCCTTTGATGCCTTTAATTAATATTGGCAGCCTGCAGCAAAAGAATAAGTTTTGGTATAAATTAAGAATGTTGTTTTCTGAAAGTAAATACTTGTTGATTAGTTTTCCCATCCCAACAAGCTGTTTGCTAATCTCAGACAGCTTGTTAATATCAGACAATACGACTCTCCAGGCATTCCTATATGGTCTATACAACACTGTGTGGATTATAGTATATGCATACATGAATCTCTCTTCATCAATGTCTAGATCTAACAATTGTAGATCTGGAGTATCAACAGCAGATGGAAGCTGCAGTATACAAGAAAACACGGTGTACATACATAGGAATGATTAAATTATGATTATGATGATTAAATTATGATTATGATGATTAAATGCCTTTTCATACTCGCAAAGGGTAATGCTAATGTGTAGGGATTGTGCGTATCACACCTTGAGAGGTGTCACGGTTGCTGTGCGACGAATGGCGAAAAGTTACGCTGTGCGATCAATGTAAACCAAAGGCAAGAAGAACACAAAATGATACACAATTCAGCTGCTAGTGAGAACAAGATCCATGCGCATTATTTGAGCTGTATCAACAAAAAGCACATGGAGCGCTTTAAAAACTGTAAACTGTGCGCAGTGTGAAAAGGCATAGATACTTTAATATTAAAAGTATATATGGAAAAGGCCTAAGATGATAATATTTTTACCGATAAATCTTTGAAATATGAGATATGGTTCTTAAAGAACTACAAACGGGAATTTTTGTTAATGGTGTCTGTGTGTTATGCAAATGCTTACAGCTTTCAGAGACTGCAGTATCTATATAATGGTATCACAAGGAAATTAATATCACAGCAGTTTGTGTGTTGAATGCTTACTTACCAAATCTCTTTCTCTTTGGGTTGATTCATAATTTTGCAATAGCCTCTCAACATTATTCTCATCAATATCATCAGTCCTTCTGCTCTTGTGCTACAGAAATAGAGAAATATGCACAAAGTATAAGACTGCAAAGACTTTTCTTTCATACTTCACAAAATTCATCATAATCAGTTAATACCTACAAACAAAATTGGGAAAAAATTCAATCCAACAATTAGTTACAGGGCCTACATTGTTAACTCTCTTTTTTATTGAGCCCACTTCTCTGAGAATGTTTCTATATGCCTCAACTTGAGTTTGAGCATTTCCACTGTGACCAACTTCAGCTTTTGCAAACTGAGGCTCTTGCTGCACTGCAGAAGTCTTTGCTTTCTTGAACCTCTTAGCTGTCACAGATGAACGAGAATCCTTGTTGTTATTCATCATTCTCTCTTTCTCTCTCTCTCCCCTTGTTCTTTACAGCAATCTTCCCCCTCACAGATGTAAGTGAGAAACAAGCCTTAAAGTTTTGCACCCCCCCTCCCAATCAAACATCTCTCCATCTCCAGCATATTTTACGTAACATAACAGATAAGTGAATAAATGAATGAAGAAGTGAATAAATGAATGAAGAAATGAATAAGTAAAAGTGTCTGTTGATAAGTGTTTATAAGCACAAATGATCATGATGGATGAAAAATCCTATTAAATTAACAAGCGATTAAGTAAGTGATTTGAATAATATACAATGTAAGTGATAACTGAGAGAGAGAGAGAGACTGTAAACTCAAATGAATTGGTTATGCAGATCACATTTATTAAAGGGTTAAAATGTGTCACTACATGCATTAAGTAAAGGGAAGAGAGCTACATTAGCTAAAGGGGAAAAGAAAGAAAAAAAAAGGAAAACTACATGCAGTGACAAATAACGTAAACTCACGATGTCGTAGTGCTGACCAATCAAATAGAGAGACTCTAAGAGTTGCGGACTTTCAGTTCTCAGGTTTCGTTTTATCTGAAGTAAATGTGAACGATGATACTTGACGTTATCTGAGAAAGCATATATATATATGACGACATAAAGCTTTTGAGGCTTATAAAGGCACAATAGCATTGAACTTTGAAGGATATCTACTAATTTAACTTGCCTGTGGTGGGACTTCTTGATGGACTCATCAATGGGCTAGTGGGAAGAGATGACATTTTGGCAAATTTCTTAGAAGAATGCTAGAGAGAGAGAGAGAGCGAGAGAGAGAGAGAGTAGATTAAGGAATGAGAGTTTTAAAATACCTTTCTTTCAAAATCATGAAAGCCATCAATGCACTTACGCCGGTCCCACTCTTTAGCAGCATTTATAAAGAAAGAAGTGCCTATAAAATTAAAAGGACAACACGGCATTCTTAAAAAGTCTACCTCCACTTCCATTACCTTGAAACGTCTTTACGGGCGTCATGATGCAATTTGAATAGTCAGCAATTGATTGCAGCTGATCAATAATCCCTGGTGTCACATCGTAGGGGAACGTATACAGAATGCTCTATTATCGCATCAATTATAATAATTATAAAATAAACTCAAGAACTTACCTCCGTAATACTGGCTTTGGTTTGCTGCTCAACCTTAGAGGAAGAGAGACAGAAATAAACCCATTTATAAGCCATGTCCTTTCCACCCTATCCTAAAGCCCACCATATACTAGGCAACAAACATGTTGCTAGCAATATTTGTGGCTACTTCGATCTTGTAAGCAACATGTTGCCAGAAATAGAAGGCTGTTCTATTTCTGGCAACATGTTGCTTACAAGATCAAAGTAACCACAAATGTTGCTAGCAACATGTTGCCTATTGTATGAGGGCTTTAAGCACACACACATAATAAATAATAATACCTTAGTCCTATCTTCTCCATCAGAAGACAGGGAACAAGAAGATTCAGTTGGAGCAGGACTATCTACAAAGGCACTGCAATACTCTTCTGAATTCTCTCCAGCTAGTTTCTCATCCTGTAAAGCGAACAAGGTTAGGCAGACAATGGTTGGATAATAATTGGAATTGTTTCTTTACCTTTAAATTTGGTGGAGGGAGAGTGAAGTGAAGAGAGGATCTTTCGGGAGGTGGAGACAAAGGGAGAGGGACAGTTTCTGGGGAAGCAATCTTTAGAAGCTTATCAAGTGCAGCGATGGGCTACATACAAATTAAGCAACAAGATGAATGTGCTAAATTGTTAAATACTTAACAAATTTAAGGCAAAAAAGGAAAGCAAAAGTATTAACTCCTAATCATTTGCTGTCTAGCATAACAATGAAGCTTACAATGGTTTCAGGCTAAGCTTATGAATAAATACATTAAATTAGGTGACAAGATGGTCACTAATTAGAATAAATGTACAAGACTACAGAATCACAGGCAAAGAGAAAGGTGCAAGTAAAATTGATTGAGCTAATTGAGGGAGTGACTACTGCATCAGTGACAAACATACGTCGGTTTTGGATTTGTCAAAATTTTTGAACTCGGCCCTGAGTGCGACACCAATCTGATCAAACTTTGCTTTAAAGGAACTCAAATTGATGAAACCCTCTCTGAGCTGAACAAGGTCTAGGAGCATCGGGAGCAAGTAATCAAGCTTGATTTGACGATCGATCCCATTTGGTCGTTTGGTGATTGCACGTGTGATGCCGGGGATAAAGTCTTCCACCACGTTCACAGCTTCATCAGGTGTCTTGGACTCCAAAACTTCTACAATGCCAAACAATAGCCTAACAACCAATTTCTTCTCTTCAGTTGCAAAAGACATAGCTAACTGCTAGCTAATTAGATAAGTTGAGCTCGTGCAAAAACTACACACAGAAAAAGAGAATCTGTTGAAAAATTCAATGAGAGAATAGCAATTTAGTACTAACTAGTTTGGATTTGCAAAGTTTTGAAGAAGGCTATCCAATCTTAGTGAGATTGAAGACACTCACAGCCGCACGCAGTTCACTAGTTCAGCTGAGCTTTTTGGGAACACGTGTTACTGAGTAGTGACACGCCCGGGGCGTGGTCACTAATAAAATAATTAGAATAACCGCACCCACAATTCTTGGAAAAACCTAAAATTGTCCAGAACACACAACCACTCCTCCTTAGTTGGAGCCTCTCCTTCCTTCTTCCTCTCCTCTCCATCCTTTGCTTATGGTGCTCAGGCTATAGGTATGCAAGAAGGAGGCAGACACCCGCTCTCTGGCTAAATGGTAAACTTTGCTGACAGTAGATCAGTCTTCTAATCATACATGTATATATATATCACTTCTTCTGTAGACTCCATTTTACTTTGCAGCCAACACAGGTATACACCTACACCATGGCCCCATCTCTTCTAGCTCTGACTCTTATTCACCTGTTTATATGTAATCAAGGTAAATATTTAAACTGATGATGTATTTATTTTTTACTAAAATCTAATTAAAATGCACCACCTTGAATGTTAGACAATACTAAAATTTTGTCCCAAAAGGATGTATGTATGCTTGCGTGATGCATATACATGTATGGAGCATTGTTTGATATTCTCTTGATAGTGATGCAGTTTTTTCAATGTAGCAGCTTTTCTATTAAGAGTTATTGCTTATGTCATAATACAATGAAGGATTGGTTCATTTTTGACATGGTATATTAACTCTGTAGCAGCTCTAACATGCATACAATGTTCACATATGTACATGTACATGTACAGTAGAATGTCATGCATAGTAACTCCCTGTAATAATAGTATAATAATTAATGTATTCACAGGTTCTTACAGCATCTTATTTTCTCACGTAGCCTTGTTAGCTATTATAAATAATACACTTGTATTCATGTGTACATGTATATATGTACATGTTGTTATACTGAAGGGCAGCTGGTCTTATTCTCTATTACTCCTATTACAGTTTCCATTGTATTTTTATAGTGTAGTGACCAATGGCGTGATATTTTAACTGAACTAGCTTCTCATGAATTTGATAACACCTGCCACACGGCTAGCAGTCTCGCCTACTTCTTGCACACGTTAATATTAACACAATGTGACTCTCACCAATACTGTGTGTGCATCAGAGTAGTACATGATCATTTTCTAATAATATTGATTGTGGTTATACTAGTATTCATGTTCTGTTGATCCATTGCGATGAGTCGGCTGTTCTGTTGTGGGGAAATGCCTCTATACTCATGAAGGGCTGGGCCATTGAATATTGTGATAAAGTATTTTAACGAGAATACGTGACGTGAGCTATAATGAGGACTAAAGATAGAGTGAAGAGGAATATAGTTTAGTACGGCTTCACTCTGTATAAAAGAGAGAGAGAGAGGCTCTGTCTGCAATCATTGTAATGGCTGGTCTCAGTTGTTGTAATGTTGCTGTTTTCTTTTCTGTAGTTTTCCTTTCTCTTGCAGTCCAGCAATCAAGTGTATTTAATCCGACAGCTAGCAGTACTCCCTCTCCTTCCTCTTCCTCTTCTCATCCTCCTCCTCCCCCTCTACTAGTACCTGTTCAATCTTTGGACAGACATAATGTAACAAGCAACAATACTTTAAATGTATCATCATCACCACCTGTATCACTAAAAACAACAAGTAAGTATACGTGTACGTCTATTAGAATATTTTTGAGTGGAGAAAGGATGTACATGTATATTGCATGTGGTGGTTGTTTATTGGATGACCAATGAACTTGCACTCTATAATGCATTGATTGCATTCCTGTATAATTCTTTTGTTTCTTTCTTCCTCTTCTCTCTCTCCTCTCTCTCTCTCTCTCTCTCTCTCTCTCACTCTCTCTCTCTCTCTCTCTCTCTCTCTCTCTCTCTCTCTCTCTCTCTCTCTCTCTCTCTCTCTCTCTCCTCTCTCTCTCTCTCTCTCTCTCTCTCTCTCTCTCTCTCCCTCTTCTTTCTCTTTCTCTCCCTCTCTCTCTCTCTCTCCTCTCTTGCTATGTCACTTTATTCCCCTAAAGTAATCTGATATCTTAAATATGAACTATGAATATCATTACATTGCACCATTGAATACTGTTTGTCTCTTCCATGTAATCTCATCACTGAGCAGCCATAATTATATTCATTATCATAATTATTAGTAATAACCATTAACCAGTATTTTTGCATGATTGGCCATTAAATTTTTGAACTATTGCAATGATTATTTTAAACCTCTGATTTGCAAGTGCATAAATTATTTATGCAACATAAATGAAGATAAAAATAGAGTCGATTATTAAATAAGAATGAAAGTATTAATAGTACATGTGTATGCTTATGATTGTACATTTATGACTAATTATAATAATTATAATTACATGTACTTATAATTATTATTTATTTTCCAGCTGCTCCAGTCCCTCAAGTGTTAATTATTAATATCACTAGCGTCCTCTTGGTATGGGACTATCCTCCGACCGATCCACCAACACAGTTTCTTGTCCAGTGCTTATCGCAAGACTTTAACGAGACCAATCACAACGTTTCTGGGCTATTGAACTCTACCTCTTTTGTGTACACTAGAATGAGAGTTGCTTCATTTTATGCTTTTAGGATCATTCTTTATCAAGGAGGTGTTCCCAGCAGTAGTCCCGGCCAACAGACAGTTATTTTTGAAAATGGAGGCACAGGTATACCCTCTTGTTTTTTATTTATTGTTAGTTATTTGTGTTTCTTGCTTAGCTCCCACTGGTCCTCCGATTAATTTAGATGTTATAAAATTTACAACAACTTCGGTTGAGGTGAGAGAGAGGGGGAAGGAGAAGGGATAGAAATAATTTTTTTGTCAGAAATGTAGCTCAAACTTTTCAATATGTACATCTATTTTTAAATAATATTATTATAAAATTAGAGGTGATTTCAGAGCCATTTTCTGGAAAAAAAACCATGGGCTATAGTACAGGGTATTTTTTTAGAAATTTGTAGTTTTTAAAAATGGTCATAACTCGAATAATTGAAAGTCGGAATTGGCTCAAACTTTTACGTAGCATAAATACATCAATATGTATCAAAAAATGTAGTAAAAATTGGGAGTAATTTTGGAGCCATTTTTTGGAAAAAATGATGGGCTATATATAGTACAGGGCATTTTCCCGAAATTTGGAGTTTTTTAAAATGGTCATAACTCAAAAAATATTTATCAGAATTGGCTCAAACTTTTTACACAGCATAAGTACATCAATATGTATCAGAAAATGTAATAAAAATTGGGGGTCATTTCGGAGCCATTTTTTGGAAAAAACCATGGGCTATAGTACAGGGAATTTTCCCGAAATTTGGAGTTTTTTTTAATGGTCATAACTCAAAAAATATTTGTCGGAATTGGCTCAAACTTTCTACATAGCATAAGTACATCAATATGTATCAGAAAATGTAATAAAAATTGGGGGTGATTTCAGAGCCATTTTTTGGAGAAAACCATGGGCTATAGTACAGGGCATTTTTTCAGAAATTGACTTGCTTTTTAAATGCTCATAACTTGTACAATATTTGTCATTGAAAAAGTATTATTAAATATTTAGATTGAAAAAGTCAAAATATGAATTTGTTATTTTGTACCCTCGAGCTCCCCATAATTATAATGCAGAAGACAATAGCAGTCTTTATAATTAAGTAAATTCTAGTTGCTCTATATTGAGTTATAATGATGCTTAAATGGCTTTACTAATCATGCAGGTATGGGGGATTTCCCAAACACTATAAAATAATAAATTTATTCATTTTTTAACGCAATAGAACTGTGTGTGTAAACAAACATTAATCCCTAGCACAACAGCACCCATTCAAGGCCGAGCGTTTCCACGGAGACCCTACATGTACATGTATTCTTTTTAATTTGTTTGTGAGAAGATCTGACCTAACCCAGAAATTAATTATGTAACTCGTGTAAGACGATTAATATCATTTTTACTAGTTGAGTAATTATGCAGTATGTTTTAAGTCTCATTCTCACCCTGTGGTAGACTCCTATGATAACATTTGGTTTTCCCTTTAATCCCTTCTCAAGCCTGCACATGAAGGACCTCCCATATATACTGCTCTAGTGTTTTTTAATTAAACGAGTCGGCGGTGGTTTCAACCATTACATGCAGCTGCAAGGAAAAGGACTAAAATATTAAACCTCAGCTCAACTCTTGGTTTAAACTAGCACACGTGTATGGCTTGAAGCTCAAAAGATTCATTAAGTACCACACCATATCATAGGAAGCCATTGTTATTGTATTGAATACATTTTAGGAGAGATTAATGCGTCCACACATTTATGTGATGTGAACATTAATGCAGCTGTTATTAGTTGGAGAGGGGGAGAGGCACTTGTGTAGTGTATCGACGCGTAGGTAGTAGTTCTTCTCTTGTGTGTCCATCTTTTTGCTCCTTGTTGTTAAATATTTGCATTATGTGTTTACACACGCCTCCAGGGTTATGCTTTATAAATAAAGGACTTATTGATTGTGAAGCCATTTTATATATATAATAATGAATATTTTGTTATGGAATTTTACTGATGTCATGTAGGCCTGAGGAGGGTGTATGTGTTCTTAGCCCAATTGATTAATACATTTTGTTTACTGTCAAAATAATAACTCTTCTTATTGTCTGCATCTACATATCTACAGGGAAAACTTGTACAAATTAATGTACCATATCTAATCATAGTCAACCTCTCAACGTTTATAATGTCTGTGTAAACCTGGGAGACTGCCCTTGTAGAATTTTATTAAGTTATATAATAGTATGATCATAATCCATCTCTCATGTATTAGTAATAACTGTAGCCACTGCAGAGAGAGAGAGGGAGTGTGTGTGTGTGTGTGTTGTTATTGAGAGAGGGAGAGGGAGAGGGTTAACAAGTGAGTAAGTTGATGTAATTCCAGGGATGGATGAACCAATGAGTGGAGGAATGAATGGACAGGTGTGGATTGAGTGGGTGTCCATGTACATGTACACCAAAAGTGATGTTTGTCTCTCTTTATTAACATGTAGATTGTGTGGGACCCTCCAGTCCCTAACGTGGACAGGGTCTATACTTATCAGCTCTACAGAGGGAGCAGTCCTAATGACCTCTCAATGGTAAGCTTTAGAAGAAGAGTGGCCTAATGCCTGTGTGTGTATGTGTGTGTGAGAGACTGTGTGTATAGAATGAGGAGAGGCACATGCCATTGCTGCCATACAACCACATTGTTAAATATAAACCACTGATTTAATTTTGTTGCCATGACTACTACCAATATCCCATGGTGGGAGGCAATAGTTGAACACCTGCTCTCCCCCTCTCTCTTTCTCTCTTTCCCTCTCTCTCTTTCTCACTCTTACTCTATTCCGAGTAATTAATGATATTCATTGTGTCCTCCCTCTACATTATGAGTGATTTGAACTCTAATTCAATCAACACTTTTCATTATGATATAGAGTAGTATAGTATTGTTAGTGATTCTTTAAATGTGTGTGTCTTATCCCTGTTATTGTCTTTCCTTCTCTCCCTCGCTCTCTTTCCTCTTTCTCCCACTCTCTCATACTCTCTTGTCTCCCTTCCTCTCTTTCCTTCTCCTCCTTCCTCTCTCTCTCTCTCTCTCTCTTTCCTAAGGTTGATGCTGTCACTAATAAAGTCCGTTATTCTTTCACTGGTCTTTCTCCTAATGTCTTGTATTATTTTGCCGTACAAGCTGACATTGGTGGCATTAAAAGCATTCTGTCAAACGTCATAAATCAAACCACTAAACCAGTTGGTATGTGTAGTACATGTACATGATGATCAAGGTCCAATTCCTATGTATGTACATATATCTCTGTATGATGTGAATGGCTTATGACCTGGTTGTTACCATTGTTTGGATGTACAAGGAATACGTGTATCTATGTTTGTACATGTTTGTATGTGTAGTTACATGTACATGCATGTATGGTTGTATGTTTGTTATGACATTGCTTCTTAAGTATGTCACAGTGTCACTGTGTCATTAATCTCTACAAATTGTCTCCACTGCCTGCTTCGGTTGCTATGCATTAATAATCGCGTGTTTCTCTTAACCTGTTGCATCCCCCTCCCTCCCTACCTACCCCTCTCTCTTTCACTCCTACTTGTTTACCTCTTCTCTCTCTCTCTCTCTCTCTCCTTTTAGATTTACCTCCACTTGTTATTAATGTCACGCCTAGCATAACTACTGCAAATATATCCTGGTCCCGCTCTTCAAGCTCTCAGTTTGATAGTTTAAAGTATTATGTTGCATATTATGCTGTTGAAGCCTTGCTTTCGTCTACTCGTCTTCCAAACGATACGAAAGGTTTCCAATCTAAGAACTTTAGCAAGGACTCTACCAGTGGGACTGTGTCTGGACTCGAGGAAGGTGTGGTTTATGTCTTCCTGGTTTCTTATTATGCCGACAATACAATGAGCAGAATATCAAGCCCTGTCATTGTACAGACTTTATCCAGTAAGTAATGTACAGTAAAATAAGTATTAATTTTTTTTAATCACGGAGAACATTCTGAGCGTACTCATAATGGAATCACGTGCATATATTATACTTTAAGCATAGTAATGAAAAATTTTGGAGTCATTTTAATCAAAGAACATGAACATGCATTGTCTTAGACTTTTTGACAAACTTAATCATGTACATGATGGCTGATGACTGAATATATACAAGCACATTTCCTGAGAACCGTTACATGCACATTCCAATGGTCATTTGTACGTGCATGTAAGCCTACAGTGTATTATTGTATGTGCTTCTCTCATGAATTTAAATAAGAATATGTAGTGGGTGAGTGTGTACATAGACAATCATGTTTGTGTACAGTCGGTGTGTATGTTTGTATGTCTTATAATGTTCTGTGTGTATAATAAGCGTGGGCGTCATTCTAGGTGTCAGTATTGATCTGTATGGCATCTATGTGTATTCATCATTATCATCCTAATTAGTATTTTAATCAATATTAGTCTCTCGGACTGTTTCGAGCGATGAAGAGACTATCTTTGAACTTTGTCCCGCACAGAGAGAGAGAGAGAGAGTTTATATATACTTGTACATGTAGTTGCTGGATCGTGGTTGAGGTGAGCATCATCTCCTTGAGACAATAATCCCACAACAGTCAAAGGAGTATTATATTAATCCAATTGCCCTCAAGTGTATTTAGCTACTCACTAATAAGACTGGGAATAAGAGGAGGGAGAGGAGGGCCATCTTGGATACCCTGTGTGTAAACACTGCCGGCCCTTTACTATATTTGGTATGATAGTCTTGAGAGCGGATATGATACATAACTGGAGGCAAACACACACACACACACACACACACACACACAGTAGGGCAGGTATAACCACTAATGACTGTAGGCACTAATGTCTGTCTACTAACTACATGTACATGTTATAGTAATGTAATTGTAATCATTTATACTGTTACATGTGTAGTAATGTATGCCCTTCCATTGTTTTTATGTTTTGCATGTAGCAAATGTTGTCATTGGGATTATTTAATTGTGGTGATATTGTAGCAACGAGAATTTGATATTAATGCTTAAAAGCATGTACATGTACATGTAGCCTAATAGTCTCTGCTGAAGTGTTGACATCAAGTTTATTTACCATTGCTCAGACTTTATGGTGACCTAGCTAGCTATTGACTATATTGAGTCAATTAATAGTAACACATTGAATGGTGAGTCAGTGTAAAGATTAAAGACTATTAAAGCATTAGTTTGGTGGCTATTGTAATCAATGCTAATAAGTGTTAACTCTTCCCTCCTCCCTCCCTCTCTCTCTCTCTCTCTCTCTTAAAGACACTCCTTATAACCCTCTCCCACTCAATCCTCGTAAACAACCTGTACCTCGCTATGTGTGTACCTTGTTGGTTTAATTTGTACCCAAAGCTCCAAACATGTCTGAATGCAGTTATCGTTTCATCTCGTTGTACTCTCTACATGTAATTACATGGTTTAGCACACGTAATTTTATGTCTGGTTGGTGATGTGTATCTCTTGACCCTATTATTCAAGACATGCATGGAGTCTCAATTGGTACACATGTCCGCATGTCACGCGTTACACGATGCGTATGCATTGGACATAATTTATTTATTGTTTTCGAATTATATTCTAATTTATTATTAAAAGCAAATCTTAATAATTGCTCAAGTGTACATTTTTGATTCATATAATTGTTTGTTATTGTATTACATGTATTTTATGTTACATTTTTCTTGTGTAAAATTTATTATGTGTGTGCATGTACATGTATATCTCAACATGTTTTGTTATTGAACTCAGTTTGTTCCAATGGTAACACAGCCATAGCCACTGGCCATACCTTACGTACATGTACATGTACATGTACACAGCTGGTGTGTCGTTATGCTTTATAAATACAAAAAGACATTCCCTTGGGTCCTCTTTTTCCTTTCTCCCACACAATGTTTATTGTGGTTTTTTGTATTCCAGTCTAGTAGTAAAGTACTTCTGGGAAGTTTACTCATTATCATGGCTGGATCATAATTGTTACTCATTCTGCCTTTGCCTTCCCTTTCCATTCACCACATTACATCTCCTTTACATGATGGGTAATGTGATTAATGTCGACCCAGACATGCTGTGGCTTAGTGTGGTTGCGTGCATGTACTTTGTGGCTTGGATTTGAAATCTAGTTTTTACAATCGACAATTTTTAAAATATGACCATCATTTGTTTGGGTCTATTGGCATCCTTAGGGAGTTTATGCATTACGTGGTTCATGTGTTGTGTTTTTTTAGGTATCAACTGTCAGAGTTGTGAAGGTTTATCAAAGTCACAATTAGAGATTAAATGGACTGTAAGTTCCCTCCCCTTAGTAGTACATCTACACTGTATGCTGCACATATGGTACTGTCTGCTCTTTTTCTATCATCCCCTCTTCCTGTTTATTTGAGTCATAGTGTTCCCTCTCTCTCTCTCTGTGATTCTCTCCATTTTCAAGCCTAACTCGTCATTTGTTTTTTCCTTTACTTGTATCTGTCCATCTGTCATCTCTCTCTCCCTCTCCCCCTCTTCCTTCCTCCCTAATTCCAGTTTAATTCCAATGGATTTCCTGTTAATTTCTCCTTATCGAGTAACTCCTGTCCCAATTCAATCATCATGACTCCAAACTCATCAGTCTCACTCATCATCCATGACATCACCCCGTGGACCCAGTGCAATTATTCTGTGATGTCAGAAACCTCTTACAATTACTACTCAGAGCCTTCGGTCTGTCCTACACAAGAATGCGCTACACTGCAAGATAGTAAGAGATATGCTCTTGTTGTTTTTGCCGTAGTATCTGATAGTAATTACCGTTTTGTTTGTAATGTTATTCATTGCCTGGCTTCTTTATTAATCCAGTTACTAGGGTGGTCTGATGTGGTCATACATGTAGATCATGTATTGTACATGGTAACAGACTAATAGTGTCTTATAGTACTCGGCCTTTTTTTTCTCTCATCATAAGTACAGCTGCTCTCTTAATAATGTATTGTATTAGACGTAAGCTAGCAATTATAATCAAATATTCCGTGTTTTATTTTTTTATTTCATTACTACTCTTAATATTGGCTCTCTTATTCAGTATCATTAATATATTATTAATCGTATTATATATTGATAACTGTCTCTACAGACACTCGGCCATTACATTAATATTTATTGACCAAATAACGTCAAACAGTGTCTTGTCTGTGTGTCTGGTCACTTTGTCTTGTTTAAGGATACTCTATATATTAATGATATAATGCGGCTCTGCTAATATCATTAATCATAAATATGTCACTCTGTCCATTGATACTCCAATAATATACTTATATTGATTGTTGTTGTTGTTTATAAGTATATAACTGATTTCTTTATAGATTAACCTTCACTTCCATTTAATGTACATGTATAAATGATTTCATCAATTGTGCATTTTGATTAATTGATTATATGAGTGTACATATATGTGTGTGTATGTGTGTGTGGCTATTTTTCCAAGAAATTTCATTGCAAGCATCCTCATTCATTGCTACGTGCATACAAGACTACTACATGATATTTAGATATAATGGTGTATAGTACTGTACTTGGGCAATATGCTTGTTGGCCCTATCTCAAGGCAGTAATTATTTGTTAACATGTACTAATGCCTTCTACATGTTTTTGTGTACTGTGTTCTCCCTTTATTTTGTACGCATCAAACGCATGTAAGGATTATGTACATGTATGTACATATAATTGTGTATTCTTTGTTCCATTCTTGTTCCTTTGTACTCTTACAAATAAAACAAAGAAAGCAAATGTAATGAGTATGCACACACTGTATAGTTTTGGTCTTCGTGGGGTGCCTTCCTTCTTTAGTAAACTATTTATTTGTGGTGGGTCTGTTGCCCTAGCAACTATTTTTAGATTATTTTGCCTCAGTAGGGAAGAAGGATCAGTCAGTATGACATGTACACATAAAACCTACAAGTGGTCTTTTGTTCAGACTGTTGTTTGAAAACAAAGCTTTAAACAGTGTAATTACCAATTCTATCGTCTCTCTCCCTTTCTCCATTTGCTTTGGCCTATATCTGATTGTCTGTGAGAAAGTCTGTCACTCTCTCTCCCTTCTCTAATTTGATAATAACCACAATCACCAAGTTAAGGATGTTAATAGTATCAGCACTCTCACTCAATTATTGGCTTATACATACAATGTAGTCTAAGTCTAGCATGTGCTGCATGAACCTACAGATTGTATATGTACATGTACACAATACTTGTACATCCATCCTTATATCAGTAGTTCTCTCTCTCTCTCTCTTTCTCTTTGTTTATTATTCTCATTTTCTTCTGTCCTTCATAACAATGCTTGTAATGGTGGTATGGTGGTATGTCCATGGTATGTTTTAGGATGTCTTATATCTGCAGAACTGTTGTCTCTATTAAGACCATTGTCCTCTGTACATTTCTGCTATATATGAAAGGTATATGTGTCCTACGTTTTGAATTAGGCCTAATTTGTGTCCTTTATATACAAAATTAGTAGTCTGCATTGTACAGAAATATTTTGTTGACTTTTTGTTATCCTTTATTCAATAAGGGGTTTTCATTATTGGGTTTGGTGTACAGAGTTCACATTTAGAGCAATTCACCCTCACTCTCTCTCCCTCGTGTAATATATGATACTTTGTTTTTCTTTTTCTCCCTCTCCCCCTCTCTCTCCCCCTCTCTCTCTCCCTATCCTATGCCCCCCATAACTCCGGAATTGCTACTTGTTAAGTGTAACCTATCAGCTTGTACTCTTGTTAGAGGCTTGTCAGATACTAATGGTCTGCTACAACTATTCCTTTGGAGCGATACAAGGGTGTTAACCTTTTGCTAGCATTCCGCGTCTATCAACCATCTGTGTATAGTGTGTGTGATTCACCCTAATGCATTTCGTTTGTCTCTCTTCCTCTCTCTCCCTCCCTCTCTCTCTCTCTCTCTAATTGACCTATACTTTATATAGACTAACTATCCTTAAGTCATTTTTAAATGGTCATTACTCACTGGCTTTTTAGGCATTGTTTTTATTCTTCTCTTTCTCTCTCTCTTTCTCTTTCTCTCTGTGTGCATATTGTTAAGGAGCAAATGTTATACATTGGTTATACATCTTTCGTACACGAGCTGCACACTTTGTTATGTCATTTAACGTTGTTACCAACACTGTAGGCCTGTGGTACTGATCCATGTAGGACTTGGTAGTTAGTCAAAGTGACAACTGAAATCCTGTGTATCTGTACATCGTAGTTGTATTCAATAACTCTGGGTGGGCGGATTTATCCTCTCTCTCACTCTCTTTATCTCTCTCTTCTCTTTATCTACATATGTATGGCATCATGAGGTCGTTAGGTAATGAATGTGCGGCTGTATTTGTACATGTACATGTTGTGGGCGCGAACACATGTGAACTAATGTGCATGGATATATTTGTATGTGTGTGTGTGTGAGATAGTCTATGATAGTAACTTGATATAGCAACATTCTCTATTAATTACTGCTATCCGTCTCCTACTCGTGGTTTAATTTTTTTATTGTCTCTCATCAATTATATTTGAATTACATCTAATTGCAAATTTATTTCTCTCTAATTTTTTCTTGCTTATTCTATATTACTCGTACAAATGAGTTACCACTCACTCTCTCTTTCTCTAGAGCCATCCGGTTTCCCTCTTCAATTCCGTGGAAATCCTCTCTCCTCTCGCTCAGTCCTGTTTCATTGGGACCCAGTTCCAGAGGAGCAGAGAAATGGACCGATCACTTCGTATGTGATATCATCACTTGATGTCAAGGGAGGGACCCAGAGATTAGTAGATGTTCAGAGCTCTCCGTATAACTTGAGCAGGCTTTCTCCTTACACCGAATACAAGTTTTTCATCACAGCCTCTAATTCGATTGGATTTGGACCCAGCTCACCTGGAATAATCATCAAAACTCTTCCAGATGGTAGGCATCTCTCTCTCTCTCTCTCCCTCTTCTTTCTTCTATCCAATATAAGTATTTTATTATTGGGTTTATGTTTGAAGTCGCTAATCAATTGGTTGAGTAACTTGTCCTTTGCTCCATTCATTCTCAGCCTATAACAACATACTCTCCATGTAGACACTGCATCACTTTGAATAGAGACTGCTGCAATAAATGAACACGCACACACACACACAATCATTTACATGTACATGTACAAATGTACTACTTGTACTATTTTGTATGCTCGCTGCGCGTGCACATGTTTGTTCACCCTCATTTGTGTTGTGTACAACTATCCCTCACACTATAATGCTCTGGCTCATTATAATGTACTGTCATTAGCAGCTACAAGCCTTGCTAAGTGTTTGTACATGTACAAGGAGAGCAAAGTGCTAGTGGGCTGAAGCTTGCATGCTACATGTGTAAGTACATGTTGACCACTTAGAATGGAATGAGCAAGACAAGAAGAGATACATGTAGATAGAGAGAGAGGGAGGGAGGATTAGTACAAGTACATGGTGTATCTAAGTTATGGCATACTAAAGTTGTATAAACCTTGTGTTTGTCTCTCTCTCTCTCTCTCTAATGCGATTTGGTCTCGGGTAAGATATTTAGGGAGTACATTCCGGGCATTGTTGGCATTGGATGTAAGAGCAGTAACTGGGAAATGCATCAGTGAGTGCTCCTGTTGTGTTTTGATAGCCACTGTGTTGGTGTTGGTTTATAAGTATTTCTGATATTTGAGTTATACATAGCTAATGCACACCCACAATCTCTAAGAGAACAAGTCGGAGACAAACAAGTTTATCAAGATGTGTGGGAGGAAGAGAGAGAGAGAGGAACGGTGTATAGTACATAATAGAGCGTGTTGAAGAGAAGTACATGAACATGTACGTATATAAGGATAGGGGCTGTGTGGGAGTGAAGGTACAGAATGTACTCTACAAGTGGTGGGGATATGTTTCTTGGAACTCTCACTTCCAGTTCCTTAAATGCCTACATTCTTTACTGGCCACACTCCTACAGGAAAACTTTGAAATGACTCGATGCTATTATTTTTAGCAATACTCCAGCTTGTTGTTAGTGCTTTCCCTAATATTAAATCATGCATACATCCATGCGACCTTGGCCTTTGATTCTTAGAAATTTGTGATGAGGGAAAGATTGAGGAGAGAGAGAGTACATGTTTGTGCAGACTGACTACTTCTTTGTCCTCAAAGAGCTTCTTAATTTTCTTTATTTATATGAGATAATGAATATTCCCCTATTTTATTTTATGAGTATGTTCTTTGTCTCTTTTCTCTATAGTGCCAACAGGACCACCACTTAATATCACTCTCGTCTCAGCCACTAATACCTCACTGAGCCTGTCATGGTCTCCTCCATTGGAACAGCTAAGGAATGGACCCATTGCCTCTTATAGTATATCCTACTACAGTAATACGACTCACAACACTGTCAACGTGGTTTCAAAAGGCACCAGTGTGACCCTATTCAACCTCCTCCCTTCCTCTGGCTATATAATACGGGTACAAGCTTCAACTGACATAGGGGATGGACCGTGGTCGTCTCCTTTTGCCTTTAGGACTTTAAGCTGTGAGTGTGTGTCTGTATGTGAGTCATTGTTCTACTATTTGTGTATTGTGTTGAGTGGGTTAGACTCTATTGGGTCGTGGTCGGTCAGTGAACCTCATTTCTTTTCACTCTTGGTCTCACTTCTCCTCCCTCTCTCTCTCTTTCTTCCTTTCTCACATTTTTATTCATCTCTCTCACTCTCTTTATTCTCTTTTCCCAACAGACACTCTCCCACTCCCACAGATTCTTTATTTCTCTGTATCAAAGGCGTCGTACAACCCATTCTCTTCTTGCTATGCTTACAAGGTGTCATGGGCCCTGAACAACACTAGCTCTGGAAGGATATTAAGTCAAACTCTATCATTTTCATCAGGCAGTGGAGCTGATGGTAGCATTGATCTAGATGGGAGCTCCAATAGCCACGTGTTGGGCTCTGATGTATTGTCTGATTCAAGATCAAACTATACCTTAGTACTTGATGTTGAGTATGAGCTCCAGAACAAGACTGCATACAATGTCACGCAAAGTTCCTTTCTAATTACTCCGTCGTGCAATTCAAGTATGCTAGTGTATTTATAATGAAACTGTCGCACAATTTTAATTTGTAACTTAATACCTTCCTAATTGGTAGTCTTCGCATTTGCATGTAATCTATTCCTTTTTATTTACACACACTCTCTCACATGCTCCAACACATGTGCTCTTTCCTTGACTCCCCCTTAAGCTTTAAAAATGTTTTGATAATGTTTTACCACTGTCAGTGTACATGTGTACATGTAGCCTGCTCTTACAAGTCCATTGTATATATACACATGGGCTCTTGACAAGGTCACACTGTAGGGGAGGGTAGGATGGGTCGCTTTGTTTACTTTGCAATTAACGCACCCTCCACTCTACCATAGATGATACTCTTAGTATCCCCCCACCTCAGCATTGCCACTCACTTTGTGATTATTATTATTATTATTACTACTATGTAGTCTTGACAGTTTCTCAGTTTGATAAATGCGCTATAATGTATGTGGTTGTTATTATGCAGGTGTCATAACTGTGGTGTTCGTGGCTGGTGTGGTCTTATTTCTCATTCTTCTATTGCTGCCTCTTTCTCTGTGCATTTGCTGCATATATCGCATCAGAAGGTATGTATTCCTCCATACTCTAGCATTGAAGGCTTGGAGTTATATTAAGAGTGTGTATAACCGATAGAGCTCTATACACTGGTATTATTTATGAATAGGGAGCCTCTGTTTGTCCCTTTATGCTCCAATGTCTATGCATCAATGAGAGAGAGGTCGCCTACCCCATTCAAATAGAGGTTTTTGAATTTTTGAATCCCCCCATAATGGTGCTATTCAAACATTCAAGTGGGACAATAGTATCTATTATATCCTCTCTCTATAGGTCCAGGAGACTGTCTAACGGGCCATATGCTATATCGTTAAGCAACGTATTAGAATCGCAGCAGCCATCAGTGCCCAATGAGTACATCACTTCTATAAGGAGGGCAGACGGGCAGAGCGACGATGGTCACGGTGATAACTCGTCCTCCTTAATCTCTTTGAGCTATCATGATGATCTCAGTAACACACCGAGCGATCAGAACGAGAGCACGTCTCAAGAAGAGGAAGAGGATGCTCCCCTCCTCTCTCCGGCTCGAGTAGAGGAGAGGGAGCCGGAGCAGAGACGTATCCTGCCACAGTCGATGGTCTTTAGACACGATGATTATGTTGTGCCTATGGGAGCTGACGATTTATCTGTGGTATCAGATTATACTATGAGTAGAAGACATGTGCCGGATGGATCTTCATTCTCTTCTCTTTCTGATGATGAGGAGTCCGTTACTAGTGCACCCGAGGGTTTTTAAACTGCTAGCAAGGGATTGCTTTTATTTCTTTGTTTTTCTTTTCCACGCTTCTTTTATTTATACATTTCACACGTGCTTCTTTTTTTCTTACTATTGATTCATAAAGACGATAATTTTACAAGTCATTCTCATGCTTATTTCTTTATTATTATTTTGTTTCTTTTTTCGTTATTTTTAATACAAATCTGTCCTTTTTTTTCAACCCCCCTATTTGTTCAAACCCATATGTACCAGTGAAAACTGCTGCCCACCGAGCCGAGCCCGCGAATTGGCGGGAAACCCATTGAAAAATTAATTTATTATTCTCATTAAGTGGATTAATTTAATGAGGCGCATGTTATTATGTCGCGTAGTATAAAAATAATAATTACAAAAACTGTGTAGCCAGTCATCAGGAATTCAGGTTAAGGCTGCTGCTATATAAAGGGTGGATGTTCCAAGGCCAACAGCAGTCAGTTCAAGTAGTACTGTCATCAGCTTTGCAACACACAAAAGGAAGAGACCAGTGTGCAGCAATCAGCATACAAGCTACTGAAGGAGATAAGCAGGTCTATTGCACTACATGTCAGACCAGCATTCACTAGCGGGGCATAGTCACCACCATCTAGGGAGCAGCAGCTTAAAGTTGTCTTCTTCTTCATCACCTTCTTCCAGTTCTCTTGCTACCGGAGGTAGTGGTTCTAGTGGATCGTTGAGTGGTTATTCAGCTGCAGGGTCAATAACAAGGAGAATGAGAAATACTGCAGTGCTAGTCAAGTGGATCGAGGACCACCAGTCCAATCCATACCCAACTAAAGCAGAGAAGCAATATCTAGCCTACTATTCAGGGATGAACATGACTCAACTCTCGACTTGGTTCGCAAACGCCAGGCGGAGGATCAAGAAGATAGGAATGAAGACGTGGCTTGAGGGGCGCTCCACATTCTCACTCGATTACTTCCCAACTCCTCGGGCGAGCTCCATAGGCTCTCTGGACTCATTTACAGGTTAGTATAAAAACTTTAAAAACACCACATAAGACACTTGATAATTAGATCTACACATACTTTACATCCTTGGTACATGTGGCACTAAGGTCTAGTGTACAAAGATACAGCTCAGTGAGCAGGATAAACAATAACATGTACTATAATTTTTGTGCATATCATGTGTACTATACTGCAAGAAAGCAGAATCCTCCTGTTGACTCAAACCACTCATTCATAGCAGAGTAAAATGCCTACACACTAACCTTATTATCTTTATAAACAGTTGACTCAATCCCTAATTAATGTGAACCTAGCAATATTGCTCATACTTGCATCTCTCTCCCCTGATATGTTGTTTTACTCTCTTCTCTTTCTTTTCCAGCTGGCTCTTATCATGGGCTATCCTCATCTCCATATGCATCTGCTGCAGCTGCTACTTACGGTGCTTTAACCAATGGCCTTCATTCCAGCTACCCAAGTCAACAAAACACACTTCTCTCAGGAGGTTCAGGCATGACAAGCCACTTGACTAATGGCTTAGGGGGAACGAGCTACGATTCAAGCACCCTCCAACCCACGTCTTCTACCACTCCGCCTCTTAGCGGGTTTTATGGCACTCGGTCAATGAGTTTGGGTATGCCAGCCCTACCAGTTGGCCAGTGGCCATCTACCCCTATACTCTCTTCGCCTCCTGTATCTTTCCACAGTCGTCCCTCATCTGGTAACACAGCTCCCTTACACTCTCCATTGACTGCACAGGTCTATAGTGCAGACACTTCTTTGAGAACTCACTCGGCACAAAGTATCGACGTCGGAGACTCATCGTATTCGTCGCTACAGCAGCACTCTCCCGATCAAATGTTACCCGAGTGTGCATCAACAGAGCCAAGTAAGTACCATATAATTTATAAGTGCTATATAAGTTGGTAGCTGCTATTATATAATATGGTTGCCATGTTTGTAAGTGTTTGATGTCATGCACTGATACTGAAAAGGAACATTGTTTTAGCTCCTCTGGAGTTATGTGGCCTATTTGCCAGCTACTGTCAGCTTTATTGTTTCACAGTTACAATTATAAACCTGATCTGCTTTACATTACTTCTCTTTCTCTCTCTCTTTTTCTCTTTAGTGCTCTCGGATCACAAAAGTGGAGTGACACTTCAGAACTAGCTATATTCGCAATTTTTGTATTTCTCTGTATGTAGCATCTTTCATACATTATATGCATTTTGTTAGTCACTCTATTATTCACTCACAATAAAGGAGAAATGGCAGCAGCTGGCTTTTTCATTATACCTTCACTTTTCTATTATCTTGTCATGTTATCACTCTCTATATACCTTTCTTTTACTTGATATTCTTTTCTCTATCCCTCTTTTGCATCTTATCAATCGAATCCATTCATTATTCATCATCATAGTATTATTATTATTATTATTATTATTATAGACAAAAATATTAACTTTATACCAGTCAGCAATACACAGCAGCAATATAAAAATAATCATTACTTTATAGAATAATTTATAAAAACATCATTTTCGCATCTATCAATTCATTGTTGTTTATGAATGGATCGTAAATTCTCATCCAGAAATTGCAACTAAAAGTATGATGTAATTAATTAAAGCATTTGCGTTGGTTGCATTTTGGAGATTTGGGATACCATTCACAGACTACGTGGCAGCTGTTATGTTTTGGCAAGCCATTATGCAACAGCGTGTAATGGGTCTGGCTGTTTACAACTCAGGAGAGACAAACAGGAGAATATTCTTTTTAATATAGACTTTATCTGATACAAAACAACCTATAAAGTTAGGTTAATGAGTGGTCTATGGAGCAAATTAAATCTCTATATGGTTTAAGTAGAGTAACCAGGACAATCGCGATTTGAACCTATGTTTGAATTACATCAAACCCGCGCGTAACTTTATGAGCATGCGCACAAAATGCTCCTTCGAAAATAAAATCCGGGAAAGAAGCACAATGTTCTTTACAATACTTATGGATGATTTAGCAGAAGAAGAAGAAGAGAAGGAGAGGAGCATGGAGGGGTTAGAGGGCTCAGTGCAGCTTGCAAGTAGCCGGCGCAGACGACGGGATGCTACACACCTCATAGAATGGCTGGACTTGCACCAAGGGAACCCCTACCCTACAAGAGTTGAGAAGGAGCAACTGGTTGTGATATCGGGGATGAACTTTAAGCAGCTCAACGACTGGTTTGCCAATGCAAGGAGGAACATAAGGAAAGTAGGATTCGATAGATGGAGGAAGAATAAAGTTACTGTAGGAGGCATTGGTGGTGAGTTATAATTGAATACTGAGGTGCTCAAGCACTACTTAGTAGTGCATGCATGAATGAACAAGTAATTTTCCAGATGCATCATTCATTAGATGTTTTTCTTTTGTTTTGAAGGTTATGGGGTACATCAAAAGCACTCGTACGGTTTGCCAGAGGACGATGGAGGAGGAGGGAAGGGACGAAGAAAGGAAAAAAGAAGTAAAGGAGGAGGAGAAGATGGAGGAAAAGGGAACATCGATTTCAATCTCTCACCACCGAACGTGATATCAACAAGAGGAATGCAGCCATATTATTATTCAAGGAGTCCACACTCATTGGTCTCACCTCATCAGATACAGCTACCAGCTCCACGACCTCCTCCTCCTCCTCTTTCTCCTCAGGCAAGACTTGATTGCAAGACAACTGGTTGTGGGCAACTACCAGGGCTATCGTCATGTCCAGTCCTTCATCATCACCCGTTCAGTCACCAGGTTCCACAGCACGTCCCTCATCCAATTGACATTGGGTATCCTCTTGGTATGGCTCAGGGCACTTCTCTCTCATGGTCGTCGCTTGGTTTACCGCCGTATGCCGTGGGTGATAGCTGGTTGCCTCAGCCTATTCAATCTACCACCTCATCGCTACAGCAGCAGCAATGTGGCTATAGTTGGAAAGAATGTTTGAAGGATGAGGACAAGGACTCTCTCAGTTGAAGTTTCATGAAGCTCCTACGATGATTTTCTAAACAGCTGATTTCTTTGTTATACTTGTGTTTCAGTTATGTTCGGGTATTTTACATCACTTATTTACACGTTTGATTCTTAATTTTCCTGTTGGTTTCTTTTCTAATATTTTATCATACTAATCACATCATATGTATTGCTATTGTCATGTTTAAAATTTAAACGTAATGTTTTGATTGTACAACAATCCTTGTAATGAACAGGAGGAACATAATGCAGTGATCACACACACACATACACATAGATACACTTATAAAAGGATCGAGTGTACATAATGTACATGGAGCAAGCCCGACCTCTTGTAATTTGAATGTAATCAGTAACTCATAGTCTAAGTCCATAGTTTATAGTCTATATACTTATAGTCTATAGATGTTTTATGAATACCAATTCTTTATAAAACAACCCACCTTGTAATTTGTACCAGCATAATGGCTCTTTTCATAATCGTAGATTACTTTTGTCACTTCGTTAGGTATTCAAGGTGTCAACAAGTTTATTAGTACTTTGTGAACAAGGGCTGAGTTTTTATGTTAAAATCTTAACGTTTTAGCGCCAAACCAAACCACCCACGTACTTGATTAACGAATCAATTTCGATCAAAATAATTATTAAATAATTATACAAAATGATATAATAATAATAATATAATTATAATAATATATATCATTACTGACACACACACACAATGTTAGGTTTAATGTTATGCAAGGACAGTCAAATGCAAAGAGTAGCAGGTAGGGAGAAGTAAAGGGACATCAACAACAGGAAAGAGGTGTGGGTCCTTCTTCATGTCTCGAGCACACTTCGAGTCATGACACAGTAAAAGATGCCACGGACTATAAGCACAAAAGCAGAAACAAACAATCCTACAAGAAAGACAGGGAGAGGATGAAGAGCATGTACATGCATAGGACAAGGTATACACAATGTAGATATGAATGGCACATATAGTCTTGTACTAGAGGACACTGTAACATACTGATGTACATATTAAGGACTCACCCACTGATATGACATAAACACCTGAAAAGAGAGAGAAAGGAAGATAATTAACAAAACGAGATTAGGCTCATGCATATAGGTACATTATATGCATGAGAAAGACTTACCTCCAACAGAAGCAGCCACAGCAGCAGTAACTCCCTAAAACAAGAAAAGAGAGCCTAAGAGTCGGCTATGACACACAGGCTAACACAGAGGCTAACACAGGCAATGGGCAATGTAAACACTAACTGTCATAATGACATCATGTGTAGATCTCAGTTACTGATAAAGGCTGGCAGTCTACCACAGCCCCATCCCACTTAAGTAGACCAAGTTTATTATACACATTGAGGCTATTATGGTGACATTAGTGACTTATAAGAGTATATACTGTATATAATACTGTATCATACAGTATAGTGTAGCTATGTAACATGAATTGCAGACTTTGCACTTCATGTATTATGACAAAAATTACTGGCTTATAAGAGTATATAGTATAACAGTTAATGGAATACATATAACATCAATTGCAGACTTGGCACTTTATGTATTATCACTCACAATCAATCATTATCATTAATTGCAGACTACAAATTATGCCTCATAAACACTTGATGAGTGTCTTGAACATTAGGAGCCATCAAATGCCAATTAGACTTCATAATTACAGACCCACACAAAAACACCAGTTAAACAAAAATAAATACTGCAAATGTGTAAGAGTCAATTATCACAAGGCTCAAGCAATAACTACATACATGCAGGCATTGGTAATGCATTAGAGGACTTTTTCTTACAGTGACAATGAGGCCAGCAATCAGCATTAGTGCCCCCAGCAAGAAGCAGAAAATGGCACGAGACTGCATCCACGAGTGATTGACATAAGACCTGGTAGAGTATAGGGGAGAAGAGGAGTGAGAGAGATAAGGGAGTAAAAGAGAGGTCAATTAGTGATGGTTTCTAATACCCACCCATCTTATAATGATCCCTCCCTTTACTCAAACACTCCAGAGAGTGTCTCTCTCTTTAAAATGATCACTTCTCTCTCTCTCTCTCTCTCTCTCTCTCTCTCTCTCTCTCTCTCTCTTTCTCCTTACCTTCTAGAGCAGTGAGGGCATCTTGCAACAGCAGCATTTCCAGGCCACTATAAGACGAAGGAACCATAATTACAGCTGGAATAAATTGTCTTATTAATGATAATGCTGATAAGGACCACCTTTAAGGACCACCATGCTAGCTGATACTAAAATCAATTTACTATCATTTTTAAATTCGTCCATATCAATGCCAAATTTTTGAGAGGGTGAGGCACAACCAAACTGGCAAGTGAAAACCATTCCTGAGTTGTAACACACACTCACAACCCATAAAACTGAAAACTAATATCAACTAATGCAACTCCAAAACATTATAAACTATAAATACATGTATATACAAGCTAATCATGTTTCATCTTGGCTTGGCTAAATGTATTGTATACACTCTGTCATTAGGTTGGCAAAAAGTTTGATAAATCAAAGTTACCATCACAATTTGATTAGCAACATGTTTGAGGAAGATGACCTTGTGGATAGTAAGTCATACACATGTACATGTACATGTACATATATACATGCATGTACATGTACATGTACATCAAAGTTAACATCACAACAAATTTTTATGAAAACTTGCAAACAAATGCTTACCAGTATTGTCCTTCTACAGTGACCACAGTTTACTCTGATCCTGTCCATTCCTATGGGCGATGGCTGTCTCATGTTACCACCGACCATTATAGTTCTCTTACTGTGGTGTAGAGAGAGAAGATAAGAGATGCTAAAAGAACATTATCATATAATACTGATTTTACCAGTTTGCTCTAGGACAAATTACTCTCGTTGCTGTCACAGAGCAAGTCAGTAGACAATTGCAAGGACATCGAACATACTTCTTTCCAGGTGGAGGAGATGTGACTGGCTACAAATAAAAATAAATAAATTTTCTCTTCATGGACGGTTTGGATTATCATCATGTCATATGTGCGTGTGTAAGAATAAGTGAGTGTTTTTTAATTCCAAAAGTGAATAGCACAGGAAGACTTCAAGTGCTAGACAATCGAGACCACAACCAGCTGTCTATTATCCTTAGGAAACAGCTGCTCCAAGCCAGCTAACAAACTTATAAATATCACACAATAAGGAAAGTAATTAAGATGTCACCAACATACTGACAATAATAATAATAACACTAGCTAATAAATCACTAGATCATAAGAGACTCAATGATGTCAAGAGAGAGTCCAAACACACTTAAATGTATACAAAAAACAATAGACTGTGCTAGTCAAAATAATACCAATTCATTTACACACAGCACATGCTGGGGATGTTAAACAAAAACATAGTGGTCATAAACTAAAATAATTTGCGTTTAGTAAGAAGCCAGACAGCCACACACACTAAAATAATAAAAATGAACCAGAGAAACCTTGACACTGCAATGAATAACATTTAGCTACATTAACAGAACGTGGCGAGTTTAGGTAAATTCAGGAGGGAAGGCCAACCTTTGGCTGGCCACTGGCTCGCCCCTAGCCGACTTTGAGTCGCCAGAAACCCACGCGACGACACGCCCTCGACTCCACCCACAATCACCTTATACCCAAAGGCAAATGAAATAATAATATATTTACATGTAGCAGTAAGTAAAGTTCACTCACTGTAGCTTCGTTGCAGTTGGTACATTTGACTACTCTAGTTGCTGTATTCTGAGGTACGTTAATCACATGTTGGCATACACGACACTGGACGAATGTGTTTGGCGTCATTGGGTAATTATAAGCAGGAGGAGGAGCATTGAAATCAGGAGCACCTCCCGGCTGTGGGGCACTATTATCATAGGATGGAGCAGGATTATCTATTTTAAATTGATACATGTAATTAATAGGAGGAGGAGTGGATCAATATCGGGTTACTGTGGGTGAGACCAGGGTTTACTATAGGATTTTGGCATAATGCTCATGCAGCTTCTTGTAAGTGGATTTTGTCAAGTTGCTCAAAAAATTTAGCCAAAATCTCTGTACATGTTCTTGGGCCAAATTTTGGCAAAAATGACTAAGAGAGAATTTTCCATTTTTATAATTTTTCCTGATACATATACATGTTCTAATGTTGCAAATGAAGTTTGAACTGATTCCGATCAAATTTGGATTTTTTATAGAATTTTAAAAGTTGCTTCAAAATCAGGCCAAAGTCCCTGTACTATAGTACAGTGTCTCGGGCCAAATTTTGGCAAAAATGACTAGGAGAGAATTTTCCATTTTTATAATTTTTCCTGATACATATACATGTTCTAATGTTGCATATCAAGTTTGAACAGATTCCGATCAAATTTGAATTTTTTACGAATTTTAAAGTTGTTCCAAAATCAGGCCAAAGTCCCTGTACATGATTCGGGCCAAATTTTGGCAAAAATGACAAAATGACTAGGAGAGAATTTTCCATTTTTATAATTTCTTTCTTATACACAGTCATGTTCTTATGTTGCGTAGGTTTGAGCAGATTCCGATCAAAATTAAACGTTTCATGAATTTTAAAAGTTAATCATAAAACTGTTCCTGAGCATTTCCGAAAAAAAATTTCCGTCACGATTTTTTTCGTAACATTCACAAAACTTAAAACTATCAAAACAAGAAGCAATAATAATAACTTACAGATCTGCGGTTGAACTGAGGGTTCCTCTACATAAGGAGGGGGTTGTTCCCCGATAAGTTCAGGGGCAGAAGGTTGGGGAATGGCATCATTATTACCAGTATCAGGACCAAGCAACGGCTTACGCTCGCTCTCACTCATTTCCAATGCCTTAAGGTAAAACAAAAGACCCTTAATAGTTTAAATACTTATTAAAGAGCCTTACCTTAGTTTCTGTAACGTTTAAAAACTCTTCTCACCTCTTCTTTCTCTGTTTTCTTCAATTTCTTGCTGTATGGTCATGTGTCATGTGACGTCCGCAATAGACCAAGCCTACGAGCCCCGCCTTTGCTCCCACCTCCACCCACGTGCTCACGCATGGTCTATAATGGATATGAGAAATGGAGTCAAGTCTTTAAAGAAGCTGCTTTTATTTCTTGAGACAGCTACACCAAGCCAGTTGCTAACATTGAATAGACTGGGCCCCAAAATGAGAGATCGGATACTTTCTTTAAGAGAGAAAGGCCCCATCACGCTAAAGGATTTAACGAGTATTAAATGGGTGACCTCCAATTCACTTGCTTTGTGGTCAGGTGATAATAATGTTAAGAAAATCCTTAATTCCTACTGTTATGCCATTGAGACCTATGGCGATAAAGTGAGTTCGAACTTTCTCTGTAATATGTCATTATAGTATCCTGAAGTATCCTAATAGTGTCACGTCAATTGATTTGGGTACCAAAGTAGTTACTTTTACTTCATTACTGAGGGAGGAGGGGGTTCATTTGAAAGAATGGCAACAATTTGAAGTTATATTTAAGCCATATGAACTAATGTCTTCATACGATCAAGTAAAAGAGAAGAGAATAATTATATTCAGAATTTAACGAAACCTCTTAATTTTACTTAGATTTCTGAGCTATTTTCTCTACTTCCAAAAACTGATGCCTACCTCCTAGAGAGACAGTCTCACAGGACATTAAAGTTTCCCAATGCTGGATTTCTTCAAGCATCACTGCTTTTGAGGATTGAAGAGGCAATCCTATACTCGATAGGCAAAGAGCGTAACATGACCATACACACCATTTCTCCTTTAAAAGTGGGACAGTATTTTGAGCTCGAAACCCATCCAAAAAAGAAGAGGTCTGCTGTTGCTATGGTCAAAAGATTGATAGGAGACAAGGATAAGGAAGGGATTGTAACTCCATTTGGTAATACTTTAGTTGTCACTCCAGAATTTAGAGAGTTTTACATTGATGAAAGAAAACTTGATGACTATAGCGACAGTATATTACAAGGGATTGCTTTTTTGGAATGGATAGAGCTATCACACTTATTGAAATAATACAAAAAAAATTTTTTGTTTTTTTAGCCTAAATTTTTTATTCATAATAACAAGAGTAAATAATATAACAAGAATGACTATATGAAGCTAATAAAGTCATTTAAAATGAATTACAATAATGGTTATGTCATCGCGGTACATTCTACTCATTCCAGCTGGTATCTCTAATAACTGCTTGACTGACCTATCAGAGCCACCCAGTGACTCCCATAGCAACTCGGTTGCTGAATTAACAGACTCTTCACAACATGTCTTCTCTTTACTGCTCCATAATCCAAACGTCTTTGAAGAAGTCTTGTCTTTATTGCCTTCCTTATCATAATGTCTACCAACCACATCGATTATATCTTGCTCCTTCATTCTCTCCCACAGTCCATCAGTTCCTAATATCAAAAACTGTCCCCCAGTAGACGGATAGCTGGTTACAACTGGCTCGGCCGTTAGGTAAGGCGGAGTCTTGTAGTCTCCTAGTACAAAATGAACATGCGACAGACTCTCTTCGGGCCACTTGTACTCAGTATCACCAAATGCACGAAAAGGCATCAACCCACCTAGTAGTCTTGATTCTCTAATGACCGTGTCTTCTTCACCAGGGTGTGCTGATTTCACACGATTCACTTCTTCTTCGTTATGAACATTCTGATCCTTACTCAAAGCTACTGGCTCCCATCCACTCCCGGCCTTCTTGCCCAACACTGCACGACAGTCTCCAGTACTAGCAACATATATCGTCTGTGGGTTTATCATGGCAAAGAGCGCACAGGCCCCACTGAGTGCTTGGGCTAATTTCGCAAAGATCCCCTCGTTACTTCTGATGGAGTGACCTTTCTTTACCAATTCGACGGCTTCTAATCCGCCATCGCTGATATTCTTATCCAAGTCCAAAAAACTCTTACGAAGGAGAGAAGGTACTTTATCAGAGTTATCAGGTAGTTGAAGTGATTCGGTGCCTCCAGCATCTAACAAGGTATCGCCGTCACGATGAATGTTCAGCGAGCCACTAACCACACCTCCTTCTCGTAGAGTCTGGGTAACATGCTTGAGGAGGTTTTGACGTAAAAATTCTGCACAATGAAAACTTCGGTGACCATCAATGACAGCAAAAAGACCAGCAGAAGATTCCGGCAAACCTCCAAAAGAGTACCTGTCCTCATTAGGTGAATTAGAGGGAAGATAATTAATATCAACAGAGCGAATATGAGGATGATTGACTTTAAAACTAAACTCATTCTTCCTAAGAGTCTGATAAGAGAGGCTAGCAAGGTGTCTGCACTGTCCTGGCCCTCTACAGCTGACTGACTCCTCCTTCACCAGGAGGAGCAGACAACCTGATGTGGCTAGGCCAGAGCAAACCCCTGCTAGACAGAATATACGTCTTCTGGTTAGTCTGTAAGCTGCCATGCTCACTATAAAAAGACAAAGACAGAGGTAAAACATGATTTTAGGTACAAAAATGAAAAGGACAAAACATACTCATCACACACACCTCAAACTCCGTTTACTCACTCCGTACTCTCTACCCACGTGTTGGCACGTGGTTTGGTTGAGCTTCTAATTAAACGAACTTAGGTGGAAAATGTCAAAATGAAAAGATTATCATCCATTTTCACAAGAAGTTTTGTTAAGTATGTACAAGGACAGTCTCCTGGACCCAAAACAAGAGAATACTTTTACTACATAGACCACCAGGGACAGGTAGCAACAGTAATCCAGACACTTTAGATCCTGAAATTAAAAATGTTTTTTATCATCAATTTTTATTATAATATTCATTTTATAGTTGTTCTTGGATGACACAAAAGTAAAAAACTTTATAACGTGCTTTAAAGGTAAATCGTAGTTATTACATTAAACATTAAAAAAAATTATTTTTGATAGACAAGAAGTTTCTTGATTTCTTCTTCAAGAGATTAAAAGTAAACGAGACAGGTCGCTACCATGACGACTTCCCCTACGTCTCGCCTTGTGGACGGGAAATGAATTACATTCGATGCGACGACCTACCAATCGTGTTTAACCAGCTATTAAAACCAGACAGGCAAGTCATTGAGAACATACAAGGCCACTCCCAGTTGACCACGCCCACAGAAGAGCTACTATCATACGGAGGTGTGACATCACTTGTCGTTCCTTTTCAACCTGAAAAACTTGTCATGTTTCCAGAAAGTGGGCGTGTCTATCACCCAGGTCCTGTAGGAGGGGCTGGACTGATAAAGTCCAGTCTTGCTTTGGAGATTAGTCCATTCTTTGGGTATAGAGAAGGATCTTCAGAGACCGACCAACCACACTCTTTTAAATGGAAGGGACAGATCCATGTACTTGACAACTCCATCATGAAATATATCAAAGCACATAAAGACGTATAATTAATTATTTTATTAATCATAAATCATGTCAGTGTTGCGTAAAAAATAAACTAAATTTGCAGCCATAATAATTAAAAGTTAAATATGAATTAAAATTCATTAACCATCATTTCTAGTTCTTCTTTTTGAACGAGAAGCTCATTTTTGGCGGAGTAAATTCAATATCTTTAATTTTCCCAAGAAACTTGTTACCTGATTGCGTGGACCCTCCAGTTGCCTCACTGTGTGAATGGAGAGAAACAAGAAAGAGAGAGAGAGGAGGGTGCAGTGCATTAAGCAGAATGATCTTTGTCTTATGAAGTTACCTCAAGTTTTTCTGATGAGTGACTATTCTTCCTTGAACATCCTCAATCAAGTTTTCAACTGTAGGCTAACAAAAATAATATTAAGTAAAAGCAAGCATCATAATCATCATCATCATCATCATCATGATTATTTTAACTAACAATATTTCCTTGATCAACGACCTGGATATCTATCAATAGTGATTTTAGTCCCGGTAGGAAGTAAGTGGACAATAGCTCAATGGATACAACTAAGTAACTTCAAGTCAAGAAAACAAATAACACACTCACTAATCACTATAATATATGCATGCCACATATCAGAACTGAAAATGGGGCGTGTCAATTAGTAAGTATGATTAATAATACTACTTAATACATGAGGTATTTATGGGAACTTTATTATTGTTTATAGGATACAGCATCCCGAGAGACTCTTGTAGGCCCCAAGGAGTATAGCGGCAATGTCGCGGCGCTGAGTGGCATTAGGAGCAGAATTATTAGTAGCAGCTGCTTCCATAAAGAACGGTATAATAACTATAAAAATAGAAAATAAAAATGAGAAAAAATACATGTAAAATGTACATAGGATATTATAACACCATAGCTTACACTCATCTCTGAAGACAGGGTCGGCATTAGGTGAGATCCTAGCTAGAGTCTTAAGGATTGTAGTGTACATGAGGAAGTCACTAATGGTCTCCTTGTCATTGACAAACTGCTCAAACTGACGATGGACTTGATTAAGTACCTAGAGAGAGAGAGAGAGAGAAAAGGAGGAAGATAAATAGAAATAAAACAACAGGTGACTCACGTCTCTCTTTGACAAGGTTTCCATTATTGTCCCTAAACTATCAATAGTCTCTGTCTTCACATTCCTAAAGAGCAACAGGTTATCGTTATCTCTCTCTCCCTTCCCTCCCTCTCTCTCTCTCTTTTACGTTTCTCTATCAGTTGAGAGTCTCAACAAAGTCGTCAAAACGTGCAAACTGATTTGCTTCTCGTCAACGCCGGATATCATTTCCTAATTAATGCCCATTGTTAATAGCCCCACCCAGTAAACCACACTCACTCACCCCTAACAAGATGGCCGTATATCGACGGACTTGCATGGACGAGTGTTTGGAGAGTGAGCTGAGAAGGCGGAGTATTAATGGGTGGAGTTTTCTCTCCCTCTTAAGCTCTAGTACTGAGAGCCGGACACTCTCAATGGAGGAGTAGGAGAGAGACACGTTCACTATGACATCTTGCAAATATGACGACAACTCTCTCTCGTCCTATCATTTAAAAAATAGTTAACCAAAAAAAACATTAATAATATTAAGTTAATTTTTAGGAGAATTAAAATACAATAAGCTTGTTATACAGCCCTTGATGATATGTACATGTACATGAAGCCCTATCTATTCTGTGTGTCTGTGGAAGGAGTGTGGAGGAGAGACTAAACAAGGGAGGGGGTGTAATGACGTAGTAGTGTGAATCGTCCCAATACGGTAGAAGAAATACTGAGCCCATTTTTGTGGGAACTACTATACTTTATTCAATTTTAGTACAGGCTTTTATTCACACCACGATAAGTGTAGGATGGGATAACAGTAAATTGATGTGTAAGTGTATTCGTATTATCAATCTGATAGCCAAATAACATAGTGGCCACTTTTGCCATAAAAATGCTAGTACTACTCATTCCTGATGCAATAGGAACCAACACCAAACCAATCCACAACTCCTACACACTCCTACCCATTGGGAATCCTCTCTTTACTACAAGAAATAACATCATTATTTTCTTGTATCGTTATTTCTTGTATTGTTAAATGTTTGTTTGATGTACCTCAGGGAACACAGTGAGTACACCGGAGATATAAAAAGGTAGTAGGACTGACGAGACGAGTGAGGACTGGTCTTTAGCTGCGTGTGGATGAGAGGTAGGGTCTTACGAATGAGATTTATATTCGTTAATGTACTTACAAGATTGACTGGAGTTCATGACAGATTGGAAGAAAGGTTTAATCTGAGAGAAAGAGAGAGGGACAGTAATAATATTATAACAAAAATGTTAACATTGATAATATAACATAATATTCCTATCTTAAGTTTGAGCTGAAAAAAATTTTTTAAGTTGCTCAAAAATCGAACCAAAGACCCTGTACTATATATAGTACAGGGATTTTAGCCAAATTTCGTCAAAAATAAAAAATACAGAATTTTCCATTTTTATATTAAAAAAAAATACACATACATGTTCTTATGTTGTGCAGAAAGTATGAGCTCATTCCGATCAAAATTTGAATTTTTTACGAATTTTTTAAGTTGCTCAAAAATCGAGCCAAAGTCCCTGTACTATAGTACAGGGAATTTTGCCAAACTTTACCAAAAATGAAAAGTAGAAAAATCCTCATTTTTATAATATTTTCTGATGCATATACATGTTCTTATGTTGCATAGAATGTTTGAGCTGATTCCAATTACAATAAGATTTTTTATGAATTTTAAAAGTTGCTTTAAAATGATTGCATTGTACACAAGTACCATCTTATGAGTGAAAGCATGTCCGAAGTAAGCACAATAGGCAGAGAGTAATACAGAGAGAGAATGGAGGAGCTCGGGCTGAGAGAAACCAAGTGTCTCTAAAGAAAAAGGAACAACACATAAAGAATAACAAAAAAGCTAACAACAAACAAACAAAATAAAAAATAAACAAACCTGCTGACTTTACTAGGTATCTTAAACTATAAAGAAAAAAGACCACCACTCACAATAAAAGTATAATTCTACATTTCTAACCATTCCTCCTGAAACCAGTCCAGTTTCTTCCAGGACGACCACGAGTCTTCTTTCTTGTTTATTTCTCTCTCCAAGCCAGCTACCAGCAAACGGAGGCGAGATTCACTACCAATGATAACATTAATGTCAAGCAGTCTAGAGAAAGGATGAGGAAACTGAGCTAAAAAATGAAGAAATTAAAACAAAAAAGAAAGTATAAAATTGAGAAAAGAATGAAAGTGTTTACTTTCTTTGGGCTCCAAAGAAGCACCATCGATCCCTTGAACATAAGGACCTAATGATATAATAATACACTCATTCATACATGTACATGTACATGTAATGTAATGTGTGTACATGTGGATACATTAGATGTACATGTGGATGGTATTTACCTGATGATAGAACAGATGTATAGTGCCATGGTACTAGATGAGTTAGTGTAACAAGGTATTGCTGGCATCTCTCAGTAGCTCCACTCTCACCCTCTGACCTTGATACTTGCTAAAAATAATAAAAACAAGAAAATAAAAACAATATAGTAATAATTAATAATAATAATAATAATAACCTCACCTTGATGCATGTATATAATTGTGACAAGAAATAAGAGACTATGTCAGACTCTAGTTTATCCAGTTCATAGGACCACGCAGCCAGGGCTGGGAGGAGGACAGTGAGAGATGCTGTAGTCACTATTTGACTTGAATCATTCAATGAACGCAAGCACAACTCCCAACACTAGGAGAGAGAGAGGGGGAGAGAGAGAGGGGGAAGAGGGAGAGAGAGAGAGAGAGAATGGATGGATGGATGGATGCTATCACACTAAGATAACTACTGCATGGTACCACTAACTGTTTTAAATTTATCTTCATCATCAATAAATGCTACCAATACAGCCAATGACTTGACCAGTGCCTCACGAACACTCTCTGCTTTATCATCAGCCAGCATCTGCTGGATTATCGAAAGAACCAAAGAGCTACGTAGCTCTGACTACAATGTATTAGATCATACAATAAAATGACTTCTTTAAAACTGTTTACTGACAGAAATATGAGGAGAGAGAACCCCGCAGGACTCAGCAACGAGGAGTCTCCTCTCGTAATACTTGTGATTAATCTGCTCCCATATCTGAGGGAAGAGCTCGGCCTCTACTTTAGATGAGCCGTTCAAGCGAGCAAACGCCACACAACCTGTGATTATCATTTGACTAAGAGAAGAGAAGAGAAGGGAAGAGCTAATACTAAGAGCTATTAGGACATGTAAGTGTACATACAGATTTGCATTATTGAGTGTCTCACCGTTGCTCTTTGGTGGGTCGCTTTATCAAATTAAATAGCATATTCAATAGCTTGTCTCTCTCACGGGCATTGGTTTGATGATTGATGACACAAAGTAACATCGGAATGAGACCCTTTAGAGAGAGAAATAAAGAGAGAGGGGGGGGCATAATTAATTTAAATAGGAAAGGATGAGAATCACCTCTCTTTTAGGCAGTATTGTGTTTTCAACAGCATCGGGTAATCTCCTGCTGAACAGATCAATGACATTTAAGTCGGGATCAGCAAGATTTGATATCTCAGACATTATCTCTGATTCCACTCCGCTCAGCTGAGACATCGTGTCAAGTAACTCTTGCCGAAATAACAAAGACATGTGATGCTTCTTAATACTATCGACTACATTAGAAGCAGGGGGTGTGGCAAGGGGAGGAGCTGTCACTTTATTGCTCGTCATTTCATTGGTTGATGTATTGCTAGTTAGAGTCTCTTCGGAGGGTGTGGCTCTCTCTTTAGCTCCGCCCAACCCTTCACCGTTGGTAGTAACATGATCAGTCTTTACATCAACGTCATCTGTACCAGTGTCATCACGCTTCTCTGCTAGGGGCGTGGTTTCAGAGCTTGCCACACCCACAACAGAGTCATTTTGAATCTCTGTTAGGTCGGACGGGGACCTACAAGGCGACATATCAAAGGTCAAAGAGGAGACTACGGGCGTGTCGGAGGCGTTACGATGATGAGAGCTGCGAGTGAGATCAGGAGTATAAGCTTTACGGGATGGAGGAGGAGCCTGTCTGACTTCATCAAAAGACTGGAACACACTAAATAAATGGATGAAGGGAGCATTTATTAGTAAGAATTAATAAATGTATACAAAACAGAATCTCATACTTTAGCTTCTTTATTTTCAAGTTCAAGGATTCATTTTCTCTTCTCAATGCAAGGGACTGGCTATTCAGTGATTGTATCTCTTTTTCCTAAAATAAAAACACCAAATGATTATTAAAAATATAGAGTCTCCATTACCAATAGTGTTATTTTGTTCACTTGCTCCTGTCCTACCAGAGAGATGCTATCATAATGGCGGAATTGCTTCAAGAGAGACGGAGGCTTTGGGATGTTCAGACCTACATCATCCCAGTCTTCAAAATTCTAAAGGACACGTGAGTCGTGTGACAGTCACGTGACACTAACAAGCCAGACCCACCTGATCACTGTTCTCTTCTGAAAGTGTGATGGCTGTCAGTTTGTTTGACGTTTCGTTCAAATATTCGTGAACGAGAAAATTGAGGGCTCTTTTCTCGTGAGGCTTTATCGGCTCCTAACAACAACAAAAACAACAACAACAACAACAATAATAATAACAATAATATACATACTGTTGATTCAGCAAATTTCACCGTTTCCTCTCCCACTTCTTGTCTTGTGGTGATGTCGGATGCTTTTGTTAGACTACCTCTCAATGATTTAATTGTCTCGTAAGCTTTACGCAACTCAAACTCTAGCACTGCAAGAAACAAGAGAAACATGAGAGAGAGAGGGGGGGAGAGAGAGGAGGGGGGAGGGATAGAGGTACCTGCCACTCTCTCGTCATTATCTCTGCCGTCATCAGAGACACGTCCTAGCTCCAGTGAATCGAATGTAGACATACTTGGAGTACGTACTACAAAATAAATTGGAGTAACGTACTACACACTACTATTATAGTCTATTTTTAAAATTTGAAGCATTTTTGATAAAACTATGGCAATGCCCCACCCACTTATAATGAAAGGACGTACACAAATCGGATTTAAGAGGCTGTGGTATTGCAGTCTCAAAGTTCCCCGGATTGGAAAAGTAGTCTTTGAGCTCCTGTATCTGTCTCCCACTCTCTAGTAGCTCGGTGTGGAGCTCAAGGCATGTGAGGATCAGCCCCTCGGAGAGCAGCCAGCCGGCAATATCCTCAAACTTCTTTGTCTTTTCCTCCATCTCTCCTGGCAGATCTACTTCTCCTTTGAGTGTGGAGTGCAGAGGAATAGGAGGAGACTCGGGAAGGTCTTCTTCTCCCTCGTCTTCGTCAAAAGGATTTTTGTTGCTGCCTGCCGCCATCTTGTTTATTAGTAGAGGCGGGGCTCACTGGGCGGAGAAAATTCTTTAATGTGCACCGCCCATTGTCATGGCGAGATCAAGTGATTCTTTAAAGAGAGAAGAGAAGCCATTATTCGAGAAATTAGATCAATACTACCTTGAAAGTAAAGAAAAGGCCGATAATTTAATCTTTCTTTATTCCTTCTTTAGTACAAAATATACTTTGTAAGTACCAAAGTCACACACTGGGCCTGTTTCCTCGTGGATCTAGTCGTCATGCCCGCGTGAAGGATAATGTCTACTGCTCAATGGCACTCTGGGCACTGTCCAGAGCCTACAGGTAATGTTTGTGGACACTTTAGCTAATACTTTTATTAATTAGATTCTACTTGATTCAATTATTAATAATTATTTTATTTAATTTTAAAATAGTCACATTGGTTATGATGAAGGTCGGGTTTTTGAACTCCAGCAAAGTGCCGTCAAGTGCATGAGAGGCATACTATTCTGTTACATGAGACAAGCTAATAAAGTACTCACCACTGGTTGTAAAGATAAATAAATTTAAAAAAATTACGTATTGTCTTCTTTGTCTATGAATTTATTCTACAATTATAATTATATGTGATACTTTTTTAGTTGGAGAGTTTCAAGAAAGATAGAACAAAGCAGAATGCTCTTCATTCTCGTTTTGACTGCACGACTGGTACAATAGCTAGCAGTGGTATTATTTGTATTATTCGTATTATTATTAGGTAATCTAGTCATGGATGATAATAGCTGGGGGCATTTACAAGTAAAGAGGGAGTGATTACCATGTATATGTATACTAATGTGCTTTATATTTGCTGTTCCTGTCTCCTTCTAGATAGATGGCACTTCGCTGTACTTGCTAGTATTGGCACAAATGATTGCTTCTGGCGTTGAGGTCTGATATCAATCCTCCTTTTAATGCAAACTCCTTTCCCTCCTCCCCCTCCTCTCTCTCTCTCCTTTCTCTCCTCAGGTTATACTAAGCAAAGATGAAGTGGATTTTGTTCAGAACTTAGTCTATTACATTGAGAGAGCTTATAGGACCCCTGACTTTGGCATGTGGGAGAAAGAGACAAAGGACTGTGGCAGCAACCTTGAACTTCATGCTAGGTAAGCTTTTAAATAATATTCATAACGTTTTATTTTCATAATAATTCATTTCCTAAACTTTCTTTAGCTCGATAGGGATGGCAAAGGCGGCCCTAAATGCTATACATGGTCTCAATTTGTTTGGCGGAGGAGCCTCTTCCCCCAGTGCTGTCATTCATGTTGATCCTGATGCTCAGTATCGTAACCACGTCATCCTCTCCACCCTTCTTCCTCGGGAGTCCTCAAGCCGAGAGACTGACTCTGCCCTTCTTACTATAACGGGTTTCCCGGGATTTTGTATAGATACTCCCGAGCTGAGGGAACGGACCGAGACTAGAGTGGAGAGTGTCTTGGAAGGGAAATATGGTTTTAAAAGGTTTCCTAAAGACGTTCATCCTTTTTTTAAAGATGAGCACCATTCTGATATCAAAGTGAGAGGATTCACGAGTAGAAATTAAATATAATTTTTAAAGAATAAAGAAAGATATATATTATTGAATATAAAATGACTAGATCACATGTGTCATTTTATTTTGTAGTCTTATGAAGGATTTGAATGTGAATGGCCTCTTTTTTATCTATATACTTACATCAGTGGTAAGCACACACACACACACACATGGACCTTGTGACATTCTGTATCCTTTATCTTATATTTAGCAATGTTTAGAGGAGAGACAGAGAAGGCAGAGAGATATTGGGACAAACTATCATTAACTGTGACACGCAACGAGTCTGGTAACTCCTTTATAATATTTTAATAATAATTATCTACTTTCTTTTTGTGCCAGGCTATCCTATAGTCCCCAAGTTTTATTGTTATCCGAAGGAAGTCATAAAAAAGAAGCTGACCTCTCCTTCTTTATCCTCTTTTCCTCCTGATACTCAAATGATCTCGCCAGATGAGCCACACCCATTCCTTTGGTCACAGTCACTCTATTTCATAGCAAGACTACTCAGTTAGTAACATGATAGCTAAAATGCATATAAAATCATTGTCATTATCATTACTATTATTAGTAATGCGGTAGCGTTACTAAGTAGGATTCGCCCCATTTCAAAATGGCTGCCATGACTTTTGCAGCCTTGTTATTATTATGATCATCATCATTATTATTATTATTATTATCATCATCATCATCATCATCATCATTATTGTTATTATTATTATTATTATTAATATTTTAGGAGATAAATTACTAACATTATCTGAGCTGGATCCCATCGGTCTCCACACATCAGGTTCACATGATAATCAAGTTACTTTCCACAATCGTAGGATTAACTTTCATTCTCCTTCAACTCACAGACACACTGTAGTTCAAGTTGCTCTGATATGTGAGAGTAGCAGGTGAGGGAGAGAGAGAGAGAGAGAAGAGTGTACGTGCATGTAGGATGGTTTAATAGTTATTTTAAATATATTTTTTAATGATATATTTTATGTGTGTTTTTAATTATATTATTAATTTTTTATGGTATGTTTTTATGTACTTCCTCCAGATTACAATCTATACTAGCAATGTATGGTATCCCAACACAGACCATCAAACAGATTGAGCCAATCACGCTAAACTCACCCAACGACGTGCTTCTTAAAGTTGGTGAAACCCTACAGTTGAATATTATTTAATTAGAAGTTACTCTGACAGGTGTACAGCCATTTAGGAGAGAACAAGAAATTAGGACTAAGTGGTAGACCAATGCGACCGATTGGAGCCATTGGGACCAGTAAGGTGAAACTGCTATATTCCTTGTAGCTGTGTTTATATTCACATGCAATGTCTATCTTGTAGATATATCAGATATTGGGTCAGTTAGCCGTATTCTATCCAACTGATCTGAGTATTGATGATTTCTATATGTCTTACGATATAAAGCTATTCATTGACACTGTGAAGGTGCTACACATGAGAGAGAGAGAGAGAGAGAGAGAAAAGGGGGAGTAATTCTCTAATTTTTTCTTTGTCTTCTTTCAGTCGACCATAAAATTTTTAAACAGTTATTGGAATATGACAGGAAGGCCTACTCTCACTCTCCTTTTACGTCAGAATCTCTTCCAGTCAGTATCCTACTATCTTTCTTTCAGCTGCATCTTCCAATGGCTCCTTCTTTCTTGTAGGATAGAATACTTCAAAGACACAATAAAATTTCTCGCTCATTTAAGAGGCGGGGAAGTAGGAGGAGTCAAAGTTAGATTAGACAGGCTACAGGTACTAGAAAGGAAAAAAATCATTATTATTTGGGTTTTTCACGTTTTTGTTAAGGCTCTTGTATCGACCTCGTGTGTGGATGTGTTGGATTGTATTGGAGAAGGAGATCAGCACGATGTAAGACAAGCTGTGTAAGTGAATTATATACCTACTGGAGCAGTATCCTTTTTTGTCTACTAATGACCGATCCATTAATGTATGTATCTTTATAGCACATGTGCTGCTAGGAGTCCTAGACTACGCTCAAGGTCGTCTTCTCTGAGTACTTGTATGTCTTCATCTCTTACTTCATTCCCTGATGATGCTGGGACTCCTGTTACTGCTGGTGGGAATGGCGATACGCTTCAAATCATGAGGTTTGAGCCAGGGCCAGTTGATTTAGAGGAAGAACCAACTTATGGGCCAGCTGTTAGTTTGAAGAGAGAGAGGAGAGAGAAAGAAGGGAGGGATAAAAGTAAAGAGTGTTTATAATAGTTATTTCTTTAGGATTTGAAGGTTCATTCTGTTGATCATTTAAAATATTTGATAGAGGTAAGGATACAGTCCAGCCTCTTCATTATCTCACTCTGAGTAGGGGGAGAATAACATTTTAGGTAAAATATACCTGTTCTCAGAGGTTGGTAATAAAGCAGGTTTGGACTATCTTCTTGATAGAGGTACACAAGTTCAACATTCTTACCCCCTCACTGGACACTACTCTCTCTCATCTAGTATCCATTACTGATCATATACAGAACCTTTATGAAGAGGCTGCGAGGAGAAAGCATTGGTTAGTTATACTGAACATGTTCAGCTGCTTTCTAATCCTTTTGATTTGAAATTTTGAACCCCAGGATGGCCGTTCGATTGGCTGCAAGCATACTTAATAAAGTCGTGGACTGTCTGGCTCCTTCTCTCTCTCATTTATTGGTTAAAGAAAAGGAGGTACATGTATAGAGTGAAAGATGAAGTTTGAGAGTGAAAGTTCCCTCACTTATAGTCAGTCCTTCCTTACTCCTTCCCTCTCTCCAGATATCAATAGGTGTCTTTGGCTTTCCAGAGTACACTATAACAGAGCCACTCACTCCAAATGAGATAGCACAGATCATGTATCAGCAATGCATGCCATACCAGCCCATTGAGGCTGTCCTCCAACAAGAGGTTGGTATAAATGCATGCAAATTCTGTACTGTATAATGCATAAATATTTTCAATTTTTCATACTTTTTTCTAGCTCCTAATATATTTTGGCGGTTTGAGCACTCGCTCTGACGTTAATAAAATGTTTGATGGTATGCTTTGCTTTAGATTAGGGTAAGTGTGATGTAATTATATCATTTTCATTTGTTATTATTATAGTTGGATAATACAAGCAATGAAATCTGAATTGCATAGGAAATCTATTAGTAGTCAGGTAAGCCCTGAGAACAAACTGTTTCTGATACAAACCGAGTTTTATCATAATTATTTGTATGCATCAGTTTTGAGTTGATTCTGATCAAAATTGGATTTTTTATCATTATACTATTAATTAGATCCTGTATCAGTTATCTCCATATCAAATAAAAAAGCTTTTAAAGGAAACACTACTAGAAAACCCTGAGAGGTAACCCACTGTAACATCCTGAGTCATCACTGACTCTGTGTCTACATAGAACAGCTCTATATCAGAGGCAACTGAATGGAGCTTTGAACCGTGTCCCACCAAATTTCTACTTGAAAGGTATAGCATTGTTAATGGATGGATGATGCTTGAGCTGTATTGATAGTTTATGGAATACTAAAGAAGGCATCTGGTGGGATTACTGTTAGGGGAAAAACATTACCACAAGTAAAAGGAATGAGATTGTTCATCATGCATGTACATCCACTGTGCAGTATCCAACAATTGAAGTTCTATCGGGACATGAGAAAAGTTTCTGCAAGAAAGTGGATCAACTTTTAAGCGAGATAATTAATCCTGAATATAGACAGCTAGTCATTGAGGTACATGCATGTACATGTATATGATCCACTGGCCACTTTCACTATCTGCTCATCTTTTTCTTCTCCATCTCTTCTATAGTTGTTGATGGTGTTTTCTACTGTGTTGGAACGAAACCCTGAGCTATGTCACAACAACTGTATCAACATTGACAAGGTTGGGGATCGTATCATTAAAGACTGCTGTTATATCTCTTAATGTAGCTACTTCAAGATGCATTTCAATTGTTAGAGACTGACATTGAAAATAAGCGATACACTGTAGGCAAAGATCATGACAAAACACAAGTATACAGATATGCAGCAACATTCCAAGTTGAAATGTTTTCTCCCTAGCATCCTTTTTATAGCCTTCCAGTTGGTGGGACATGTGGTACAATCACTTACATGAGCAGAGCTGTACTCTCTCATTTACTCGAAGGCGGGGTGGATAGCTCCTGCTCCATCTCATAGAGGGGGCAAGAAAGCTGGCATGAAAGAGATTCACTGTTCTTAATTCTTAACACTATACAATTAATATCATTATAAACTAATATCAGCTCATTATAGACCTAAGCTAACATCACGTGATAATAGGCAAGAAGAAGCAATCTGAAGCATAAAAATGTCTACATTAAAAGATGAAATTGAGGCTTGTAACGTCAAGTTTATGGCAGCTTTTGACAAGGGAGATATGGCCGCTCTTTCTTTATGCTATTCCGAGGATTGCAAGCTAATGCCTACTGGTGCTGGAGTCATGGAGGGCAGGGAGGCTGTCCCCAAGATCTTCCAATCAGTTCGTGATGCTGGGGCTACTAAAGTGGTCCTGCGAACTGTAGAAGTTGGTCCAATGGGTGGAGGAGATGTAGTTTACGAGAGAGGCTCCTACACTTTCTACAAGGGAGACGGGTCTACTTTTGATGATGGAAAGTATGTTGTGATTTGGAAGAGGATTGGTGGGCAGTTGTATCTCTACACTGACATCTTTAACACCAACGGATCCCAGTAAAGTTGACACTCTTTGCTACACTACCTAATATGCTGCTCAATTGACTGTCCCTTCATTATTAAATTTTTTCGACAAACTAGATCTATTTTTTTTCTAAATAATGTTGTTGCTAATGATAATAAAAAGTGACAGGAATTATTTGTGATACAGTTTATAGCGATTAGGAGCAAGCGCATCTAAGTTGCAGTGTCCTTCATATCCTGCAAAATAAAGTATAAAGACATTCACATCATGGAAATAGAATTATTTTCTTACAACATCGTTTTCCTGCATTTCGTTAATCTTTTGAACGAGTGCTTCAATTTTTTGCTTGTCATCCATGAAAGGACTGCTGACAATGTTGCTTACAGCACCTTCATTGGAGGTGAGTACTGTTTTCACTTTCACTTTCATCTGTTCACCTACAAATACCTCTTTACCCTCCGGATCCTTATAAACACCCACCATCTACCAAAAAATAAAAAAAGTATGGCATCATTGATGCTCACGACTACCTGAGGAAAGAAAAGAAGACCCAGTATGACGGTAGTGTTGATAATGATGGACAATCCAAACAGGATGGAGAAGGCAAACTGGTAATGATTGAGGGTGACGGATACAATGATTTGGATTGTGAGTATGATGCTTGATATGTACACCATTAGACCGACAAACTTGGAATCGTTAAGACCTCTGACTTTCACTTTACGTATGCCAAAGGCAAGGAAAAGTGCAGCGACTTGAAGAATAGCCTTGAATCCAAATATTATTCCAAGAAAAATGCTGTGCTCATGCGAATCACAAGTATATACATAGTAGTCTGTTATGTAGCCAAGAGTCTACAAGAAAAGACAAAGAGACCCTATTGAATGCATGACATGTTATGCTTACTCCTCTCTCGTCTGAAGGATTTTCATTATTCCTGACCAGATATGCCTCAGGCCTCCCTCCCTTATATCCAGCCAGTAGACCCAAGAGGAGCAAATCAACTGATACAGCAGCAAGAACAAACAGAGACAAGTGCCAGTCCTTGATAGCCTATAATGTGCATAGATATATGAACTATATAAATCATCAGGAATACTGTATACTTTTCTATTTGGCTTTGGATTAGTAAAGATATAATACACTCGCCACATTTTGGCCAGTATCGTCGAAAAGCTGAGAGTATATCCGAGAGAAAATACTCTTGGTTCGAGCTATAAATAGAAATTATACTTACAAGCTATAACGCATGCATATATGGACAGGCTTACATTGCATAGAAGAGTCCTTCCAAAAGAATCATACACAGGCAGAGTATACAGAATAACGCTGAAATACATTATCAAGCTACCAATGATGATAAGTACATTTAGCTTAGGACTTGTTAAACGGACCAACCTACAAGTGACAAACCAATACACTCCTCTTAATACTAATGAAGGTATAGCTTACTTGTTCTTCTTGTAAACAATGACAAAAACTAAGCAAATAACACCAAAGATCATACCAGCACCAGCCAGCAATGAAAACACAACTGATATTGGTATTGGGACTGACACAATTTCAATCTCTGCCACACCATCGTATGGGACTTGAGCTATTTTGTAGTAAAATGAAACAACAAGTAAATTATTTAATATTCCATTAGTTACATGGCCAAACTGTAGAGTCTGATTCTCCATTGTAATACTCAAGGGTGGTGTAGTTTCCCAATGCTGGAACAGAAGCGAATTCTACTGTACCAAATGTATTGTTGCCAGTGTATCTGTACTGGAATACTCTCAGCCTATTGACCCTTCTAATACCAATATTTGTGAAAGATACATTTCCCTGCAAATTTTATAAGCATTGTTAGTATTTTATTTTTTAAATATTCATAAGTTACTGTAATTCCAAGGAAATTGGTCCTCTCAAGATGGCCAAACATCATCTGCTGAATGACATTGTTCTTGTATGTTGCATTTTCTATTCTAAATTCTGTTTCAGTATCTTCCCAGCCTTCACTCTCTTGAGCCAGTCTACTGAGTGTTTCATTCTCTTTCAAATCTGCACAAATAATATTTATTAACTATATTAATATTATTAAAACTTAATATTGTGCTAGTTTGATCTAATTGCAAGTACATAACTGTAGCAGAAATATCTCTTAGTCTTACCATTAATAGTTTGATTAAGAGCAAGAGCAAAGGCCCAGACACCATCAAAACACTGTATGTTGTGGGTCGAGTATCTGTAACCAAAACTTGACAGCCTTTTGTCATACATTCCATGATATGTGTCATAACTCTGTTAAGAGAATTGATAATCGGTTTATGTTACAAGTGTTGCTTCTACTCACAATCCCTGATATGGTGCTTTGTGTTCTATCAGTGCCAAATTGGTGCTGGAGGACTGCAATGCTATAATGCAGTACAGACTCAATCTCTTCTCTTGAACAATCAATGGAAGAGGCTGATGATGTCCACCAGGTTGGAGAATACCAACCATATATTATAAAAGTGTAGCGTGGGTACACACGGTTTTTCTTATAGGCCTACAACAACAGAGTGGTGTAAAGTAGTACTAGTATGACGCATAAAGTGACTGTTTAGAAATATGTTATAAAAACATCACAAACATACAACCATACACTGGACTAACACCACACAGTTATAATCACTGACAGTTACAATTCATTTATAGTTAGTTCCACTCACCTCACAAACAACAGTAAGAGCATGTCCAGGGTACATTGCTAGAAATACAATCCTTTCTCTCGTTTCCTATAGAAATTAAAAGTATAAGGGCAGGGGTGTACAGTGAGAAATGAAGTTCATTCCACTAATTTGCTTCATGCATGAGGTATTATTTACTCTTGATGAAATTGATGAGTGTAAATAAACTTTCATAATACAAATATGCCTTTTATGAATAATATGTTCAGTGTTATGATTATATTCAAAATTTCTCTTAATATGTACTAGCAAAGTGGTGCAAGCTTTTTCTAATACTTTGACTTTGTAAGCAACAAATAGACAGCTGTTTTATTTCTTGCAGCATGTTGCTCACAAAATGAAACTAACCACAATGTTGCTAGCAACATCGTATGTGGGCTTAATCCTTCATACTAGATTGCTATCTTTAGATTATTGTTTTAATTTTTTTACAGTAACTTAACTGTAAAGGAAACAAATAGCTGGTAGAAGAAACAAAGACATAAACATCCCTACAGAAATTATCTGACAATGCATTACTGGTTTACCATTGTTTTGAAAAAGCAAAAATCAATTGACAAACAATAAAATAATTAAATTTTAAAATAAACTTTTTGGGAAAATAATTATAAATCGGCACGTAATTATGATCTTGACACACATGCGAGCTTACAAAGAGATTTTTTCCCAAAGATGTAGGTCCGTCTGAAGATTGGAATTTTCTCAGCCCCCAGGTTATGTTCTCACTCAAAAAAAGAGTAGTAAGCATCCCAACAGTCTATTACAAAAGAACGGCATGCATGCAACCTCTTGGAAACAAAATGAACTCACTTGTGTGAAAAGGTTTTCGTCTTGAGCTATTATTCCAATATGACGCCATCTGTACCGGAGGCAGATGGCCCCTATCGCAGGGACCAAGTTTATTGCACTTGGAAGCATTTGAAAATATGCTTTGTACTTGACTCTGTTGGCCAAATTGTGCGAAGAAGAGGCACATGAAACCTAATACGAAAACGTGTGGTTACGATATTATCTGATAGTGTATGCATAGCTAAAGATCGCACCTGGGTGATGTTATAGTAATGACTAATCTCAGCCGTTGGCTCTGTAGCTACTGAGCAGCCTGCACCAATTACACCCACTCTTTGTGTATCTGAGATAAGTTGTTTAAATAACGAATCCAATGCAATGGTGTGATTACACTAGTTGCATTAAAAGGATTAATAATTATCATTATTATAGTTTCAATATTAATTGCTGTTTACCCTGGAGTCTAGTGCTATATAGTGAAGCTTGTAGCCAGGTAAAAGGTCTTCTTGCTCATTAATGAGGTCCAGTGCTATCTGTATTCCTGGAATAGTCCCAGAACTGAGAAATGTTCCATTAAAGGACATCATGACTGCTAGGTATAGGCTTGTTGCATTGCTGCTCTCTGCTGATGGCTGAGGATATACGAGTGGAAAGGAGCCATGAGAAATGGAAGCAAGGGCACAGATACAGAGAAAGATCAACTGGAGAGACATGATCAACGGGAAACAAAAATATTGAACTAAAAAGGTAAGTTATGAACCAAAAAGGATTAGAGGAAATTAGCAGCGTGGGCGTGGCTCGTCATGCTTTTGCAAATTTTGCATTAATTTTGGCATTTTTTTTATCATGCTAACATAGCAACCATTAATGCAAGAAGAAACATGTTTTTAAAACCCATGCATAATTATTTCCATAGTAACAGATAAATACAATGTCTACACTGATTGTTGTGCCATACTGTAAGCTTAAAAAGCGACTTCCTCTCATCATTTCCTTATCAGTCAACATCGTACAACTCTTTGTCTCCATCTTAGTCTTTTCTTTGGGTTTGTCAGCAACATTTGTCACACCACAGTATGCTTTGGGATCATTTTGGGCTGGCATCTTTACTGGGGCACTTGCTATTGGAAGAATTTGCTTAATTGTTCTAAAAAAATTTTTTCATGATAAAATGCAAGATAAAATGGTCAGTAATGAGTGCAGTTGAATAGCTGTTGTATAACAATATAATTGATTTTTCTCTTTTCTTAGCCTTTTATTAATGGAATCCTCTGCATTGGATCACTGCTAGGCAGCCTTATAGCTGCAATGATTGATGGCATTGGAGCCTTCTACTTATCTCAAATAAACTTTGACAGATGTGCTCACACTAGTTCAGCCATGCAGACTCCCTGCTCCAATAATCCAGCTTGCACAAATCTAACCTATCCATCTCAGACTTGCTACTGTTGTGACATACTTGAGAATGATAGAGTTTGCTATGTTTCATTATTAAGTGGCCGTCCTCACTTTTTCTCTGGCGTCAGGTCCTGTGGGTCTATACCAAGCTCACTTTATGCAACACTTGTTGTTCTGGTGGTTTTTCATATAATATCAGGAATATTGAGTGTCATTGCCATACAGGTGTTTGGTCTATTAATGCCGGGTGCCAGTCAAATCAATGATGATAATAATGATACTTTGGATACATTCGTGGCAACACAAGTAATACAAGATGAAGATCAAGGAAATAAAGCAATATCATCACCAGCTACATTGTCAAATAATAATGAGACATCATCAGGAGAAGAATCTAAAAATGCTGAAGGGGTTGATCTACCAGTCCCACTTGATGCTCCTTACAAGAAATCAGAATCACAAACAATCAAGCTAACTGCTGAAGGAGAGTTTAAAAGTCAAACACAAAACTCAAAAGAATCCATTAATGAAACAAAATCCTTTGATTTAAGTTGGGAGGCTTTGAATGAGGAACCAGTCAAGGTAATAAAAGTTGCACCAGTTGATAAATCACAACTTGATCCATCAAACTCAGCTATAGTACACCCAACTCATGATACTATTATTAAATCAGAATCAATGGAAGTTAAAACTCCAGGAATGGAATCAGCACACTACCAGACTGACACAACAAGGGTTGAATCAGCTCAAGAAATTGAATCAAAATCAAAATCAGAATTTAAAAGATCAAATACATTTGATACAGCACATGATGTTTCGCCTAAACCAACTACAAGACCAAAAGGAGCATCTATTGATGTACTGCCAGGAACAAGCAGCACAATTAAAACAAACACGTCACCAAAAGAACTAACTAATTCAAAATCAGAAGAAAGGATCATTATTGAAAAGAAAGTGTCTCAAAGGACACATTCAATGATATAAAATGGTTAAATTAGCTGTTGTCATGTAGGACTTTATAATAATCATTGTTAGACATTAAATGCAGTGAATCTAATGCAGCAACGCCAATAGACACACCCCCTTCATCACAGTCCGACGGCTTGCTCCTTAATAAATGACCTGGTGCAGTGTTCAGCAAAACCTCATTGTTTCTTCTAATAAAAAATTAGAAATGATGCTACTATCATTATTTGTAATGCTATTGCTATTAGATGACATAAAACTTTGATTTAATATCAACCTAAACTCTGTATGTGCATCACAAAATGTAATAAAAAACAAATAGAATTTCTTCCTCGCCATTTATGAAAAAATTCCCTGTACTATAGCCAATGGTATAATAGTCAACTTTAATAGTGCAGCAATTTTTAAAAAATCCAATTTTAATAGGAATCAACTTTAAAATTTCTAAAAAAATTCAATTTTCATCGGAACAAGCTCAAACTTGCTACACAACATAAGTACATATATATGCATCAGAAAATATCCTTAAAATGGAAAATTCTCTCCTGGTCAATTTTGCCAAAATTTGGCCCGAGACACTGTACTATAGTACAGGGACTTTGGCCCGATTTTTGAGTAACTTTAAAAATTCGTTAAAAAATCCAAATTTGATCGGAATCAGTTCAAACTTGCTACACAACATAAGTACATATATATGCATCAGAAAATATCCTTAAAATGGAAAATTCTCTCCTGGTCAATTTTGCCAAAATTTGGCCCGAGACACTGTACCATAGTACAGGGACTTTGGCCCGATTTTTGAGTAACTTTAAAAATTCGTAAAAAATTTAAATTTGATCGGAATCAGTTCAAACTTGCTACACAACATAAGTACATGTATATGCATCAGAAAATATCATAAAAATGGAAAATTCTCTCCTGGTCAATTTTGCCAAAATTTGGCCCGAGACACTGTACAGAGGCTTTGGCCCAATTTTTGAGTAACTTTAAAAATTCGTAAAAAATCTAATTTTGATTGGAATTAGTTCAAACTTGCTATGCAACATAAGTACATGTATATAAATTTTCTAAACCATAAAACAATTAATTTTATTGACTTCTGTCTCACCTTACATAAGCACCATATATTCCCAGTTCACTGATGACTCTCATTTTTTTGATGGACTTTTCGCCTTTTTTTAAAACAAAATTAGGAAAAGACGGAGCATTTATAAAATCCATTAAAATGTAGCGCTCTCTCTCCTCTGACGAACTAATCCTAGAGAGAGTCTCTTTTAATTCTTCATTGTAGAGGTTGTTGCCTTGAAAGGAAAGATTGTCAAGATTCTTATATAAAATAATAAAATAATAATAATATATAAATTACCTCCTCCTTCCCTTT